GGTCGTTTGGTCTCATGTCACTATCTTCCCGTGAGTCTGTTTATGTCTATGAATTTGAAAGCTTTATTCCTGAAATACGTGTGATTATACATTTCCCGGTAAAATCTCGATATCGGGTGTTGACATATCATCGGCACGCACGTGTACTATTGTTTACCAGGGGCCTGTTCGTGTATGCGGAGCAACCGGTTTGACCGTTTATAAATGTAACAATTTCGGGTATAAATCCTGGCGGACCTGTAAATGTATATGCAGGCCTTGCAAGGCTTTCTCAAGGCTCGCCTGAAAGCAGCATCAGATTACTAGGTCCGACCTTATTTAATAAACGAACAACAGTGGTCCGATCGGTTTGACCGTTTAAACGAAAACGGCCAAGGTGTAACTATAATTTGCACAACGACATTGAATGCCCGATACGCAATACGGAAATGACGACACGGTGTACATGCACATTTCGATCAAGATAATTGAGTCCGAGCTGTACTTTTTCCGGAAGTACGTCACGAAAATGGACGCTGATGACGATGTGTGGAGCCACCTTAATCCCTATGGTAGAAGAAAGTTTTTAAAGTTTTACCTCTATTTCCCCTATTGGGCCCGCCTCTCTTTCTCTAGGGGGGTCAGACACACCGTTTATACAAAATTGGTTCCCCTTCACCCAAGGGTGCTTCATACCAAATTTTGACAAAATCCTGCCATTGAAGAATTTGCTTTGTTTCCCCCATTGGGCCCTTCCCTTCTGCCCCCAGGGGGGGGGGGCACACTCGCTGTTTATACGAAACGAGGCCTTTTTGCCCAAGGATGCTCCAGACTAAATTAGGATAATATCCCTTAATCCCTATGGTAGAAGAAGGATTATAAAGGTTTTACCTCTATATCCCCTATTGGGCCCTGCCAGGGGGGCCACACCCACCGTTTATACAAAATTGGTTCCCCTTTACACAAGGATGTTCCACACCAAATATGGACCAAATCCTTTCATTCCTACAGAAGATGGATTTTGAAGAATAATTTGCTATGTTTCCCCTATTGGGCCCCTCCCCTCAGGCCAGACCCACGGTTTATACAAAATTTGTTCCCCTTCCCCCAAGGATGCTTCTGACCAAAATTGGTCAAAATCTGCTCAGTTGTTCATGACCAGTAGCATTTTAAAGGAAAAGTTGGTGGACGACGGACGCTGCAGTATGGCATAAGCTCACCATGGTCCTTCGGACCAGGTGAGCTAATAAAAATAAGCATTCACTTATGATTTCAGAGCATGCATTACTTTGAACTTTCAAATGTGCCATCCATTCATTATAAACCAAATTACTAATCATAATAACTATTGGAAATGATATAGTGGAACACTTTGGTAAAGGATATACATGTCAAAGTAACAGTATATGTCCTTAAACTTATTGCTACTGTAATGCTTTCTGGTCAGTGGAACCATCTGTATCAGTCAAGCTAACATCTGACAAAACCATGATGTCATCACTTCCTGAGGAGGACCCGTCTTTGTCTTCATAGTTTTCTTCCACTTCGTCCTCTTTTTGGTCTCCAGCTTCTATATTCTTATTGGCTATATCTTGTGACTCTTTAATCAGATTGGCTGCCCCTTCTTTAGTGTCATTTGTTGAAAGGTCAACACTTTGTAAACTTTCTCCCGATTGGTTAGTTCTTTCATCAGCTTGTAATTGGCCTTCTGATTGGTCAGATCGTGTATCTGTTACAGATATGAAAGCTGAAGCTTCCTGAGCTTGCTCAGGTACCATAACAAATTCTTCTTCCTTTGTTGATAAGTACACATCCTTTTGAATATTCATATCAGTGTTCCCCATTGGTATTTCCAAGTGGTCAATATCTTTTGCGGCTATTCCAGGTGTGGCTTTTCCTGTTTCTGATTTAATGCCTCTCTTTGTTGGAGTGCCAGTTACTGAACTAGTTCCCATTCTTTCTGTGTCAGAGTAGTTTATCCTCCTTTCCGGAGTGTTGAATTCGGAGCTTCCTCTTCTTTGCTCGGGTGATGTGACAAGAAGGTGAAGTCGTCCGTCGACAACGGTGGGGTGGCCGTGATTAGTGTCACCTGTGTTTACACTGGTCTCAGAGGAGAATGACCCTGCCATAGCAATCATACTCTGAGTGTCCTCTTTTTGTGCATTGATGTCGACCCCTAATAACTGACCAGAACTTTGTGTGGCCTGTGACCCAGGTATGGCCAGCCGTGCAGCAGAAGAAGGGAGGGCAGAGCCAGCATCACTACTGCTATAGCTGGACCTACAACAAAAAGAATTATGAATTGTTTCACTTATTTCCCTTTAAGACCGTCATGAAGCAAAATTTAACTAGAACTGTTAGATGCAATCTAAGTAATACTCCCTAAACTTCCTTATGACAAACTTTTGGTTTTAATAGACTGACCATCATGAACTAATCATGTGTAGACAGTTCATTTAAATCCATCTACTAGTTCAGATGCCACAATATGGACAAATTGTGAAAATGAAAAGCACAGATTAGAAAAAAAACCCTCTGAAATTGGTTGAAACAAAACATAATTAAAGTGCAGTACCTAATTACATGATTAACTGACATGAAGTCGGTAAATAACAGTTTAAAAATTAGCAGCAGAATGGTCAAATATGTCTACAGAAAAGTTGATTCCTGTATACCCATTAACTTAATCAAAGGATAATCTAATGCAGAATAGCCTGGTGTTACTAATTCATGTATTTTAGTGTTTTCCTTTCAAATGAGTCCTCATTCAATTTACAGCTAGAGGTTTCCAAATATGGAACGCTTTTAAGAAAAGAGTTAAAGATCACACTTAATGCAACATATATTCTTCAAAAAATTTGTTCAACATTGTCGCAGAATATTCATGTTTAATGTGTGAGAAATATGGGATTTTTATTTTCAATTTTAAAACATTTACCCCCCGGTAGTATTTTATTAGATTGACATGCCAATTGTTCCAGGATTATACCTGTGGCTGTCCGAGGCGGACTGTCCTGGAGAAGGAGGTACGTGGATTATGTTAACATCCTCCATATCAACATGACCACTCTGTAACTTCCTCATCAGACTTGTGTATTTGTGGTGCTGGTTTTCACATTGTCTCTTCATTCCAGACCTTCAATAAGAGCAATAAATAATAAATTACTTTTACAAGTTAACTCTGTTTTATAGTAACACCATTTTCTCTGTTACATACAGTTCTCCCTGTATAGAGTTAGTAACAGTTGTGTCTGTAGAATTACTCAGTTGTTTTTGCAGAATTGCTCACAGTTGTTTCTGTAGAATTACTCACAGTTGTTTTTGTAGAATTACTCAGAGTTGTTTCTGTAGAATTACTCAGTTGTTTCTGTAGAATTACTCAGAGTTGTTTCTGTAGAATTACTCACAGTTGTTTTTATAGAATTACTCACAGTTGTTTCTGTAGAATTACTCATAGTTGTTTCTGTAGAATTACTCACAGTTGTTTTTGTAACTCCAGTATTACAAGCTCCAGCTGATGTCGCTCCTTCTTCCCCTCCACGTCAAACTGGTGAACAGTGTTGATGAGAGTCTGGCGCTGATGCTGTAGCTGGTATAGCTGCTGTTCCCTCATACGACCCAACTCCTCCAGGTAACCCTGTTATTTACACATGCTTTGTGAAGTGAGAAGTTTCAAGCTTACAATTTAAAATTAACACAGGTTAGAATTTTTTAAACTTAATATTAAACTGTTCACATTAATTGACTGCACTAAGATTAACTTACCATAAATATTTCAATGTTACTATGTAAATAATGCATCCCCAATGTTTCCTGTGTAAATAATGCATCCCCAAAGTTTCCTGTGTAAAGAATGCATCCCAAATGTTTCCTGTGTAAAGAATGCATCCCCAATGTTTCCTGTGTAAATAATGCATCCCCAATGTTTCCTGTGTAAAGAATGCATCCCCAATGTTTGCTGTTATTTTCAACTGATTAAAGGTTCTTCAATACGCTGCCCTGATGTTTGCATTTTTTCAAAAACATGAGGCATCTCTTACTAGTTTTGGCAATTAAATTAAATGCTTTAATACTGAAACAATGATGCTTCTCCCTAAATTAAGTTAAAATATGTCAAGTCATATATAAGGAGTAGTTGTTTGAAAATGTTCCCCTAATTTCATTCCTATATTAATTTTTCATTTATTTGTTAAAAAATTAAGTAAAAAGTCATTGTACTTTTTGTTCATTGGCTGTCTTGTATTTGGTCTCCAAAGCCTTGTACTTGTTTTTCCAGGTGTCGTCCCCGATAATCGTGATATCCTCACTCATGATGCTGCTTGTCATACTGGAGATGGTACTCAGCTCGTGCAGCTCCTCAGCATCACTATGGAGACTCTCCTGGCTACAATGAGATGGTTAACACTGACAGATGTTCACAGTCATTGACAGGCATATGTGACCAAATCATAAGAAAATGTGTTAATCAGAAAATTTAATTCATGTTACCACAAAGAGTAACAAATAAAGAGCATTTCAGTTATAACAAATTCAAAGGTCAATTTCCTGCGTCAAAATATTATGAATGTGCTTGAACCAATAATTCTAATGGCCAAATCTGAAAGTTTGGCTATTCACATGTAACCATATCAGAAATGATCAACAATGCATGTTGGCAGTGTAACACATATCAGGCGTAATGGAATATTTAATACTGTTCAGTGTTAGCCCATGGCTGTCTTATGCTAAATGTGGTCAAAATCACTTCAGCAGTTCTGATCTTGTACCATATAAAATTTGATAGATTGATGACAATGATGAAGGGCAACATGTCATGGCAAAAACTTATATGACCTTTTGGCCTTTTGCCATGTGAACTAATCATGAATTTGAATGAAATGGTAAAAAATGTTCTTGAATGAGCAAACAAAGTATGTTTTGAATCAACCATTCTAATCTAGCTTACCTCTGTTGGAACCTCAGGTAGGGAGTAAAGTCTATTTCCAAAGGACTAGACAAGGCCACATTGTTGCCCTTCAGACAGAAACTGTAAACAGAAATTAGTCAGTTATGCATTAAGTATTTAAAATTCTCAAAACTTGCATATGTCTTGTAATTTGAATATTTAAAATATTGAGAAAGTTTAACAAATTAAAAAAAATGTGCAACAATACAGACATGACAAATCTGGTACCATTGTCATTATAACTTGGAGACATATAATATGGAATCTATAAGTTTACAGGCCACATTACACAGAAGTTGAAACTGTCCATTCGTACACCAATTAACATAACTCTAAATTTACGATGTATTGCTAGATTAACACACTCATAGTGTTTGTTTATGTCTCGAAATCTCCAGGGTCAATGTATTGTCAATGAACATCTTAAAACACCATAACAGGTCAAACATTAAGTTTTTCATATTTGTGAGCTGTAAAATAATGCCTATGGACTTTGTATCACTGGCATATTATCTATGTTTGATTTGGTTAGTTGCGTCCTATTAACAGCTATGGTCATGTTTTGTGGTGGAGGAAAGCCGGAGTTCCCAGAGAAAAAACACAAACCTATGACCAGTACCTGGCGACTGCCATTTTGCAGCCATTTTGTTTATCTGATCATTTTCAAAAGTAAACATGAACAATAAAGGACAGTGGGGAACCTGCATATAGCATATAAAATTTGAGAAAGAACCCTCCAATACTTCCTGGGAAATAGCACAAACAAACCTTAATTGTCAAAATCAAAGATTTGTTTATCTGATCAGTCTCATAAGAAAGCAAGCACAACTACATACCAAGGAGAACCTACATGTCAAATTTGAGAAAGATCTCTCCAGTCCTTATTGAGAAATAGCTATTACAAACTTACACTGTAAAAATCCAAGATGGTTGCATGTCAGCCATTTTGTTTATCTGGTCATTCTCAAAATCAAACATGCACAACTACAGACCATGGGGAACCTACATGTCAAATTTGGAAAGGTCCTTCCAGTGATTCCTAAGAAATAGCGATAACAAACTTTCACAGTAAAAATTCAAGATGGATGCATGTTGGCCATTTTATTTATCTGATCATTCTCAAATTAAACATGCACAACTACAGACCAAGGGAAAACTACATGTTAAATTTGAGAAAGATTTCTCCAGTACTTCCTGAGAAATAGCGATAACAAGAATTGTTTAAGGACGGACGACGGACAGACGGAGGACCCGGACGCAGGGCGATTTGAAAAGCCCACCATCATCTGATGGTGGGCTCATAAAAATCAGAAAAGGTTAGTCAAAACCCTCTAAAAGCCATTAGGTCTAAGCTGATGGCTATTACATTGTGATTTTCCCTCCTAATGACACCTCACCTGAAGTCGATGGCATTGAGTCCCAATAGAACACCGTTCAACATGTTTGCATCTTCTGTCAACACCACAGCTCCTTCTCGGTAAAACTTTCTGTAACAATGCAAGATCAGTGTCCAGCAGTCTATATGTACATGACTTTTAGTTTTGTTTAGAGTTTTCTTTCAACAGAATTTTTGATACTGAATGTTATTAAACATTTATTGTTCATAAAGAACACCTTTTTTTAAATTGCTGCTTTAATAATGCTCCCCTCAGTGTAAAGCATTTTGGTAACAAAGGTAATCTCTTATTAGAGATGTGCTAGCTACATTGTACTTCCCCCCCCCCTCCCCCCCCCTATTTAATATATACTGTATTTGATTATTCATAAGTAATGACTATGAACAGCTTTGTATCATGAGAGGTAACAGATAGAGATACAGTCAATTGTAACGTTTTAACCGTAAAAATATATCATGAATGATATTAGGACTAACACTAGTTTAATCAAAGATTTTGTTTGTTTGTTTGTTTGATTTTGTTTAACGTCCTATTAACAGCTAAGGTCATTTAAGGACGGCCTCCCCTGTGTGCAAGATGCATGCATGTAGTGTGTGTATTTCGGGAGGCTGCGATATGTTCGTGTTTGTCTCCTTGTGATAGCGCGGAACTGATGCTGACTTTATAGTGCTACCTCACTGAAACATACTGCCGAAGACACCCAGCAGGACGCCCCACCTGGTCACATTATACTAACAACGGGCGAACCAGTCGTCCCACTCCTAAATTGCTGAGCGTTAATTAAGCAGGGGTATAAACTACCATTTTTAGAGACTTTGGTATGTCTCGGCCAGGGGACAGAACCCAAAGCCTTCCTCACAGGGGCGAACGCTGAACAAATGGCCAAAAGTGAGGCATTGTCAAGGGAGACATTAGGAAGAAGAAAGTTATGTAGAAAGGAGAGAAGAGATAAGGTCCCAAATTTAGTCGCCTCTTACGATCATGCAATTGGGGGCAGCAGGTACAATGAAAAGCAGTAAGTATTAGTAAATACCAATATAAAAACCAAGTCTTATTTTAACATTAACACAGTATTAGAGAGTAGTGGAGAGGTATTTACTTGGTAATATTTGTCTGTTGTAGGGCCACGTTGAGGTATTCTGACAGTCGCTTCTCCATCAGCACACATCGAATCCATGCTCGTCCCTTCAAAAGCAATGGAATAGAAAATGTGTCACACAGAATATAATAATTTCATGATATTTTCGCATCTTTTTGGGGTAATTTCTTATTTACAGATGAATTGCTGTAAATTTGATTTTTAATGTTAGTCTGACGTTTGTTTTTTAAATCTATACATGTATATAAATAGTTTTATATTTTTGATGTTTTAATTTTCCAGATGAAATATGTCATCAAAGTGTGTAAAAGTCTACCAAAGCACTGATTCAAGTGAAAAATACAATGATCACAAATTGTAGAATAATCCCTATTAACTTGCTTGATTCTAGTTAGGCCTAACAACGATAAAGTGTGTTCCAGGTGTCATTTTATGGCATGTTACTTTATATAGATTTCACCACTTCAGTTATATTACATAAATAATTTAGGGCGCTAATTAATGCAGTGTAATAAAACAACATCAATGTTTGATTATGAAAATGTACAATATCACCATTATGACATCACATAGAACAAGATGATGGTATCAAGAAATTCAAGGTTACTTACGTAAGTTAAAACTGCGGGTATTTTCCTTCTATTTCCCGCCAGTCTAAAATCTATGACTTAATAAAAACTGAAACTGTGCTTACTTTGATTGAGTGTATGATAAAGATAATCTCAAACTTGTTCTCATTTTATTTGTTTTTATATAACAAGCTCCAGTTAGAAACTTGTTTATAAAAATCATGAAATGGGAAAAATGATCATCAAGTCCTATATACATTTCTACGTTACATATGAGAATCAAAGACTGTTGTTATATACTTCACACCAACACTTTAGGGCTACATTCGTGTATCCCGGTTGAAATGGTACATGTGGCGCAGAAATTTTCCACGATAAACGAACACACTTGGACCGTTCTATAAGCAGAGCTAAAAATCCACAGTTTCGGAGAATAAAAAACAATGTATCAAGAATATTATGCACTTCTCTCTGCACTGCGTCCACTAAATTACATAACGTATCTTAAAAATTACATGCGACTTGACATTGTTTAAGAAAGAAATAACGCAAATTGGCAATAGTCAGCATTTTAGTTTCGGTCAGGTACGTCTGGACCCCTCAATCTACATGTACCAAATTTTCCTGAAGTCAGCCTCTGTCCAAATCTGTACCTGTCGTTTTCTTTACAGGTTCAACCGGTTCAACCGTTTCAACCGGATACGCGAATGTAGCCTTAGACTTTCCTTACCTTTGCCAAAGGAGATTTGACATTCTCCAGATTAGCAATACTGTTGATACAGCTGTTTGGCACCTTTTTACATGCCACCTTTATATAACCCCAGAAATGCAATTGATCCTCATCTAGAGCAAACCAGGTCTTTTGGGCTGTGTTAATCAAAGGAAAGCCTTCATCAACTTTATACATCTAGTTTGGTTTGCATAGTTTAGTTTTATAAAATATCAAGGTTAACATAATTTTATAGAAAAAAATCTACATGTATTATGATAATATCGCTACATTACACATTGAAACTGTAATTTGTGTTAGCTTTATCTCTCTTAAACATCACTTTAATTAACATTCTTATGCATTTTCGTGATTTTGACAACGTATGTGAACATGATTATGCAAAATAGCCATGAATGGGACATAATTGTGAGACATTAGCAGCAATAGATTTTGGCAGAGTTAATGCGAGGGCTTATGCAAATTTCAGACAGTTACATTATTATTGAACTGATAAAAATGACATTTGTAACTGCTGATCACTCATGTGTAAAATAACTATTAAGCACTCACAGCAAAAAATACCATAGATATAAGAATTAGTTTTCAATTTTGGTCAGGCTATGAGGTGATAACTCCATGAATAAATTTGGGATAACATAGTGATATATGATATGCTTGGTGTGGCTTCTCCCACACTCCCCTGATTGTGTGAACAATATTCCTGTAACCACTGCCATGAGCATATATATATAACAGGAAGACCTGGACAAACTACCTTTTAACCTGTGTGACAGCAGCTGCTCCAAAACTGCACAGAAATTGATGACCTCTTCACACTCATCATCAACTGTTGTCAGTGATGCTTTGTCAATCAGACTTTTCACAGCAAATCTGAAGGACAAAATAGGTCAATATACATTATGTAATTATAACTCATCAGGAATATGTTTGATAACTAATGGAGATTGCATGAAAATCATAGACTGAAAACACACTTCAATGCCATACTACAAGGATGAAGTAGAAAACTCTGTTTGATCAGCTGACATAACGTTATCCAGTCGATGTCAAAGTTATTTTGGCAAAATCTCAGTCACAATAAAATGACAGGTAACAAATTGATAGTCAATTTCTGAGCCTGTTGATTTCTGGATTTTTTACTCTTTAAATGTGTGCAACAATGCATGTCTTTTGTATATCATAACAAAAATCTTATGCAAGGAAAATAGACCTTTGGGGCTCAACAGGGGCTATTGGTAAATTATTTACACCAGCTACACAATAGGTCTGCATCAATCACTCACATGTCATTCAATGCTTTTCTCAAACAATTTACACATCTCTTGCCTTCAATTTGGTTCAAGGTCTAATTTATATTAACAAGGTTATATTAATAGCAAATAAGCTTACCACTGATAGGAAGTTGTTGTAAGGTTTTAACTGATCTTACTCCTGGGGTTTTCACCATTGGCTAAGATCATTTAATTGAACGAACAAATATATTATCCACTATAGTCCTTAAGGATCTTTAAAAAAAAAATCTGCTTTTTTTCACATTTGATCCCTGTGAATGAAATTGAACAAGATAATTTATTCAGACATATTGATGGACATTTATAAGGTGTTTAAACATTTGAATACATTTGACTCCCATGCAACCTAGAAGGGCATCATTTGAACAAGCCTGATAGCTCTAATCATTATAATAATAATAATATTTTGAGGTTCTTATATACATGTATCGCTTTATCAGAACCTAGTTCATAGGTTGTCTCAAAGCGGTTCACAAATTATTATTCATGGTTATAGGGCCTTTGCAACCAGCCAATATCTTTCTCAACTCCCTGGGGAGCACACAGCTGGTGCTGCCATTTTGGCGCTCACAGCTAGCATTCAATAATTCTAGCACTGCCCAACCACATACTCATTTACAACTGAGTAGACTTGAACAAACAGAGTAAAGTATCTTGCTCAATGATACAATACAGTGCCGTGCCTGGAACCTGCAACCCTTCGGTCACGAGCCCCGCATCCTACCACTAGACTTCAGTGCCTCCAAAACAGAATATCATTGCATGCAACTAGCCAAATACTATTACCCCAGGCTTCTTGAATGTACAGATGAAGTTGTTTTAAGTCATGTGACCTTGACAGTGGGTCAAGATTAGTAAGTTGATGTAACTTAAAAGTTCTTCATTCCAGCATTCTACAAGACAAATATCATTATCCTAGCTATAGGCCTTTCAGTTTCATCAACAGAAGTAGCTTGAGTTCAGGTAACAAAAGAAATAGATTAGCAATACATGCCATTTTGGCCTTGTTTATCAGACATCATGTCAGAAGAAACTATCTGTGCACTTCTTGTGGTAATTAATACATCAAATTTTGAATACTAAAATACCAAATTTTGTCTTGTTTTGCACGCCACCCTGCCATGCACTTAACCACCACCCAAGCGAGGAACAGCTTTGTTTAAACAACATTTGATAAATTTGTTTGCCTTTATACTAAATGCATAAAGTTCTTGGTTAATATCCATTAAGCACTTCAGGATATGAAGTCTTTGGAGGTCATCATCTTTTCATACCGTACCCTGCTCCTCACCTACTGTACCCTGCTTCTCAGCCCGTTTTGGGGATTGGCACATGCACACATCCTATCTATTGTAAAATGTTTGATTCTCTGGTCCCAATGATGCAAAATAGCATAACTGGTTAAAATTTTATCAGTCATTCAGGAAGAGTAAATATAAAATTTTATCAGTCATTCAGGAAGAGTAAATATAACCTAAGGCTTTTAAGGGAAAGGCTAATGTACCATGTTTGGGCTATAGAGTGATTCTGCACCATGGCATAATAGCTCACTGGTCCCTCTGGCCAGCTGAGCTTACAATGTGACTGTTGGTAAGGCGAATTTCAAACAGCGTTGTATGATTAGAAATTAACTACTTGAAACAAACTCTTTCAACAATATATAATTAAATTTACCTGGCAATTACATGTATAATATATTAATCATATCAAAATATGTGCGTATTTCAATACTTCTGCTTTAATGTCTATGTGTCTCACATGCAGCACTGTCACTATGCATATTATTATTGGAGGATGTAGTAAATGCAGCTACTCTGAAGCAATATTGAAATCTAGGCTGAAAAGGTCAGTCATCAAAATTTTAAACTCCCCATCATCACTTCAAAATGCATCTAGCACAATGCAGTGTCAAGCGCACAGGCTCAAATTGATTAAAAAGCTTAATCTAAAGTTAAACAGACTGAGCATTAAGTTAATTTGATCTGTTATTATATAGTTCTGGTTTTATTGAAACGCATGAGTCATACAATACACGGATAAGTTCAACTCAAGATATTTTTTGTTTCAAAAACAAAAGGATTAGACAACAGGCATACTAAGCCTATATAAAAGTCATAAACGACTATAAGTTGTTTATAAAAACCTCTCAAATGAAATTATTGACAATTACGCATTTGAGAAAAATGGAATGATTACAAAGATAAATACAGGTAATTATATAAAGAAGTCGAGCCGATTATTTCTTACATAATGACCTACATCGATATCTGTACATTGTCCCTTTATCAACAGATCAATACAAAAACATTGAATGGTCGACTGCCAAGTTCAAACTCAATATTAACATTCTACAATTTAAGCTAAATGGTTTGATATCTAATTAATAAACAGTGTGTGTTTAAATTAAATTGTCATGGTATGTATGTATTCTTTTGACTTATCTGTTTGTCTGTATAACATGTGACAGCACAAGACCAAAATCATTCATAAAACATGAGTTACCTGCATATTTGAATCAAATTTCTCCTTTGGACACACACTTGACGGTTGTGTGATCGGTTACGTAAACTGTCGTGTACATCCATTCCTAAGAGTGGATGGTTTTCACAGGTCGAATGTACTCACTGTCGCTCTTGTCAAAAAACACCTGCGGCCATTATGGTGTCATGTGACTTCTTATCCCAGCTGAGAGGCAAACGACCTTAACCTTCTAAAAAGTGCAAATAGGGTTATATTGAACTGCTTTATATTAATATTCGCTAGATAGCTTCACTAGTTTATTTAAATTAAGATAACTACATTTTACTCTCAAATATGTTTTAGGGAGCACATACGCCTAATATATCGTTGCAAACATGTCAAATAGGCAAGGACTCGATTTGGGATCCTCATCATTGCAAAGTGCGCATGCGTCAAATTAATGTAGGACAGATCCGTCTAGCCTTCGGAGCTTTGTGTATTTTACTGTAATATATTCCCCCCTTACCCCGGAATTGGACATCTTTGATGCACATAATGACGAAGAAGAACTCCAAGACTTAGGTACAGTATTTTTTATTCGTTTTAGACACAATCTGGTCGTATTGTATATGATTTTGCACGTATTCACCCTATCGTAAATCTCCAAAACAAGTCAAATGAACGATCGGTCAACTTCGGGGTTCTTCATTTGTGAAGTCGTGGTTGTCCACATTGTGTTGATCGTTAAATTAAACCAGAAGTGGTAAAACCGATTTGTTTTAATTGAGTTATAAGAATACAGGTTCGATACGAAATCATCTGCCGGGTAATGTTGTCAAAAATTTCCCTCTCTTCCGCGTGTCCTCGGTCGTTTACCCCGAAGCAGACGAAAATAATCGAGGGCAAAAAATATGACACACTTTCGTACAATTGTGCCTATTTATTGAATATTATTTATCATTTATGTTATTATGTACATGTTTATTCACATTTATTGCACACAAGTAGTAGTTTGATCGATGTTTCTTGGTTATTTTCATTGACGTTTCTTTTTATGATATACCTAACGGCAGGTGCACGCACGTAGAAACGTGTTTAGTTCAAGCTCAGCATGCTGTTCCTAACCTGTCAGGCTAAAATCGATTTTCTAAATATATTCGTCGTTTGACCTCCTGACCTATTTTAGAATATAAGAAACATTCGTCTAGAAAAATTATGCAAGTTTACAAAATGGCCCTGGAGTGGAAAGAAAAAGTATATATATATATCTATAGACAAATGTTGTACTGCAGTAATTTAAAATCATGAATCAATGTATTTTTTTAAACTGATAGGGTGTACATTTGATTAAAGCCACGTAAGATACACATATATATAAAAAATAGACCACAGCAGCACACTGAGTATGAATAATCTTAATCAGTTAAAGGTCATTCTTAATGCAGTTGCATAGATCTGTTACTTTTGTAAAATGATATACACAGCATAATCAATTTTAAAAGATATTTTTAAAGTTACTATATATATATATGTAATTAAATATCTTAAAGTCATGGCTACTATATATAGTAGCCATGATTTTAAGATATTTAATTACATTTGATTTTTTACCATTCAGAGGCTACTTTTTGCATTCTTATCTCGAGAAATACTTTACAGAAAATTGCCCAGTATGAAATATTTTGATATATATATAACATTTCAGAAAATTTTCTTTCATTATGAAAATTTTATGTTTGGTAGCTATCGTCTGAACTTGAACTTGACAGTTGAATTAAACCTCTCAAAATGTAAAATTGTTTGAAATATAAAATTTTAACTGAAAAAAAAATGTTGTGACCTTTTCAATATTTGATATGAGAGTGTAATCTTTTGATGAGACTTGTATGAAACTTTCTGTGCATTCCAATGTCATTTGTCAAGAAGAAGGGAATGGAATGTCATTAATCTTGCCACTAATGTACACATGTTCAGAAAGAAAAAGGATCCAAGGCAGCTGCTTACTTTAAAGTTATCAGAAATAATATAGTTAATAAGAAAGATGATAAGAATTTATATAATTTATATTATGTTCTTTTCTGCATCATAGCATACCATGATGTTTACAGAGTTTATTGTTATTATTTATAGTGCATTAATTGAGTATTTGAAAGGACAAAAAAATTATGAACATATGTAACCTACATGATATATACATTTTTTTTTTTACCCATAACCGTCAATAAAAAAGCCCATATTAGATACAGTTGAGTAATCACATAATATACAAAAATTACTGTGCACATATCATGAACACATTTTCCGCAACTGAGTTATTTGACAATCAATTACCCATTGTGCAATAAAATGTGCACATGTGTGTGATATGATGAGATTGTATGACCAATGTTATGAATTGAAAGAAAATGTGGAAGGCTCATGTGATGTATTAAGGTACATCATATGTACATATTATATATCCGATTGTTGTATCTTGCAGTTTTTCCAATACACGTTACACATTATTACCTGCAATGACTGTAAAACTGTCAGTAATGCCAAATGGGTATGTACTCAGGTACAGTACCAGTACATAGTGAATTGAATGGAGTTGATCGCTGAGCAGAGTTGATTGGAAATTTGACAGTAATAAATACACAACTGGACCTTACCAGTGTTCATTGTGTCTATTATGTTTTGTGTAGAAATTCTTGCCTCTTTTAACGGTTGACTAGAAACAAGAAATATACCAATGACCTAGTAATTAACAGGTAACTGGTAACAGCAAGGCTACCTTGTTTACACTGTATCTTCTTGTAATGTATGTATATGACAATATTTGTCAGGGGCTAATCTAGGATTTGGGGAACACTACCCATTTTGAAATGAGGGGAATATCCGAAGGCCTCCGAACAACTGCCACAGTCAGGAGCCGGGGGAAGAGCATGGGGGGTACAGGGGGATCTCCCCCGGAAAAAAATGGTATTTGAAGATGCAAGGAGATGGATTTTGAGCCCATTTGAGTGATAAAATATCTGACATTCATAAAGGTGAATTTTATATAATCTTTTAAAAACAAAAGTTAACATAGATTAAAAAATCCTATTGTGTGTTACCGTATTAGTATACCCCAGAACTTGAAGATGCAAGTAGATGGCTTTTGACAGATAAATAATGTGATAATTATAGGAATTTTATACAATCTAAAATGAAGTCACATATTATGTTAAAGCACATTCTGTTTTAATGAATTCAATTTTGGGGAAACTTTCTCCTTCTTGGGGGAATTTTTCTTGATGGGGAATTTGTTTTTTATTCAAAGAGGAAAACACAGTCGTTGGGGAATACTTCCGAATTTCGGTAGTAAAATCAGTCTAGATTAACCCCTGTTTGTACGACAATTGAGGTTGTTCGTGACTATAGCTAGTGCCTAGTGATCATGATTGCCCCATGTAGGATTCTAACCTGCCACCTATTGGTATACGTAGAGGGTTTGTGATTGGCGATAGTCAGACGCCTTAACATCTTGGCAAAACAAAAATAGATGGTACCTGAAATCTAACTGATATTCTAAATCTTGGACTCAAATTTTGTTTTAAACATTAATCTGTTACATGTACTTAGTTTAAAGTCATTTCAATATTTTTGCCTGCTTTATTACATAAAGCATGTAAAATTAGTCAAGCATTAGTAGCTTAAAAAAGTGATGATCTAGATCATGAAATTTTGAGTGATTCCCATCACTAGCTACACTAAACTACACTTGCATTAATTATAGACGTTTCATTGATAGTACATCGTTCCCAGTCTGTTCCTGCTTGGGAAGCTGGATATGATTTATAAATTATTTTTTGAAATTGTATCTCAATTGTAAAATAAAAATATTTTTAACTTTCTTTTATTTTAAACCAAACTTTGATATATATTCAAAAGTCTGACAATAATAAACATTGTCTGAAGTTAAATTCTTATACAAATCTAATCAACTTTGAAAGGTTTCAAAATAAGTAAGCATAAGTAAAGTTCGCTCACCATGAATATTAAAATTTCTGAATTTCTCAAATTAATTGCTGAAGATGGTCAGGGATAGACAAGACAAATAATTCCATGGAATTCTTGTTTTAAATTTGCCAAAGTCTTAAAGAACCTGCCTTGACTTGAATTAATTAAATCAGTAATTAATACATAATTTAGTTAATGGCAAGTCATTTAGATTTAAAAACTACCACAGCTCTCACTATGTATTGTAATCTATATATATCTGGTTGTTGCCTATTCTCAATTTAAAAAAATAAAGACATTTTAATGAGCAGTGATGTAGACTGCAACAAGGTGGTGGAGTACATACATGTACTTAAAAAGCTATACCCAAAGTATCAAAGGCTCTGGTACTTGGGTTACAAAAGCTAGCCTACAACATCTAGAGTGCCCTACCAATTATGTCTTTATATATAATACAAGTAACATAAGAAATTTTGATTGATATCAGCTGTTCTAGAAGCTACCGTATACATGTTGCTACATCAGATAAAATTTCAGTTCAGTTCTTTATTTTAAACATCATTGTATTTGAAATATCAGATTTACTGTACAGATAGTGGTACAAAATGTAGTTCCATAGTGTCTTGTTTGAATAAACATTTGGGATGAATTTATAAGTAACTTATTGTCTATACTGATGATGAAACATATGTAAATGTTTTTTTCTTTAGGATACAATCATTGAGTGCTATACTAAAGTAAGACAGTAGACACTTACAAAAATATTTTGCAGGTCAATTCTTCTGAGGTCAAAGCCCAGTAGTTCAAGGTTGAATCATGCTTTTGTCATGATTTTTTTCAGCACCGTAATACAATATTTTAAACCTCATATTAACCAAACTTCATTAAGTTGTAAAGTAGTTTAATGGTTGATAAAACACCTGAATGATTTCTGCTCCGTTACGTTAGGTTTTCTTTAATATAACATCATGTTCACCAATCATGATGAGTAATACTACAGATTTTTTGTAATGTCAATGGTTCATTGATTGTTTTCGAATATTTTAAACTGTTATTTATCTTTTGTAATTGTTACAAAGCTTAAGGATGATGTTATGTAATTACTTGTTTGCATACATTATAGAGCGCATGCAAAAAGATCATGAGAAAATTTATGAAATTTCTTTAAGATATAATTTATAAATATGGTCATGTTTGTTTTGAATTTAGCCCATATTTAAGATATTTATGTATAACTGGTGTGTTGCAGGTATTATCTGTGGTGCCAGCCCAGCTCTGTGGATGTAGCTGCCACAGCTGTTGGGTGTCTTACTGAAGTCACACCTATTGCCCTGTTTTAAGTGGTGGTTCCAACACACAGTCAAGCTGGATCGCGAGGCCACCTCCGCGCCCGACCATTCTGGGAGAATGTCGGTGACGCGTGTCCCAACGCCACCCCCTCCAGAAATGTCCTGCCCTGTTGCAGAAAACTGGTGCTACACACAAGTATGTACATGTAAAAACTTTGTCTCAACTTAACTCAACAAGGACTTTTTCAGCTGTTTATCATATTATTTTTGTTCTTGAGTGTTTAATAAAAATTGTATTCATTTTACACATTTTCGACCTCTTGTTGAATTCCTCCTTTTTAAACTGTAAAAAATGCAAACAGATAGTTAAGACTACAATCTCCCTTTTCTGCAGTGTGCCAAACATATATCTACAGTAATACCCTTGCTCAATTCATTTGTAATCTTGCTTATGAGACACAGTTATTATCCCCAGTGCATTTCAGAGTTTTCTTTTCCTATTGCATTACAATTCCTTTGTATGTTTCTCGCAATATATCATCAAATTCCTTTATAATGCTCAAGTTTCCCTGGTTTTATAAACAAAAAAGAAATTTATCAGTAGAAAATTATTGCTATTCACTTGATTTTGATATTATGATCATAAATGTTTTGAAATGTATTTTTACAGGTAAAGGTCGTGAAATTCTCCTATATCTGGACAATTAATAACTTCAGTTTCTGTCGTGAAGAAATGGGAGAGGTTTTAAAAAGTTCAACATTCTCAGCTGGGGCCAATGACAAACTAAAGTGGTAAGTTTTTTATGAAGCAATGATAGAGTTTGAAGGGTTTTCTCATCACTCTGGAAATGCTTGGACTTGAAAGAGTTGATTTAAAAAATAAAAGGAAAGATGTGTCAAACATTCTGATATCAAATAGGTTGTAGGACATGGCTGTTCCTATATAAATTACAGTAACTTGAGCTTTCAATTTCTGTAAAGTCAAATATCCTAATCAACTCAGAAAGGTCTCAACTCAGTGTAATACTTATATTTTTTTTCCTTCCGCCAGTTTATCGAGTCAGACTGATGACACCTCACTTAAAACATCATAAGGATTGTTTATAGGGTTCAATAGAAATTTATTTAATGCCCCCCCCCCCCCCCCCCNACATTGTAACAAATGTGTAGTAACTTGCTTACTGATAGATGTTTTCAATTTAATGAATTTTAACAGGTTACTGTAATGAAGTTGAAATTTCAAGTTAAAAAATATTCAAGATAGTTTGATGTATATACTATACTAAAATGCAATTTTGTTCTTAATTAAATTACCTGTTATCAAAGGTACTTTTTGTTAGTCCCTGCAGGTAGGGCGTAAGAATTGTACCTGCTGCCCCCATTGCATGATCGTAAGAGGCGACTTAATTTGGGATCTTATTTTTTCTTTTTAAACAACTTTCTTCTTCCTAATGTCTCCCTTGCTTTTGACAATGCCTCACTTTTGACGTTTAGTTGAGGGTTTGCCCCTGTGAGGAAGGCTTTGGGTTCTGTCCCCTGGCAGAGACATACCAGAGTCTGTAAAAATGGTAGTTTCTACTCCTGCTAAACGCTCAGCAATTTAGGAGTGGGACGAATGGTTTGCCCGTTGTCAGTATAATGTGACCGGGTGGGGTGTCCTGCTGGGTGTCTTCGGCAGTATGTTTTAGTGAGGTAGCATTATAAAGTCGGCATCAGTTCCGCGTTATCACAAGGAGACAAACACGAACATATTGCAGCCTCCCAAAACATACATGCATACACCACACACATGCATCTTGCACACAGGGGAAGCCATCCTTAAATGACCATAGCTGTTGGTAGGACGTTAAAAAATACTAAACCAAACCAAACTAAACCAATGTTACTGCCTAGCAGCTAAAATGAACAAATTGTAAACCAACTTTGTGTTAAAGTAGATATACTAGGTCCTGAAATCATGAAACAATCTTAGACTTCAGTTTTTGCGTAGCCAGTCACATATAAAGTCACTTTTCATGATGTTATAACTTGTGGCTGGGTAAGTCAAAACTTGGGACATTTTTAGACTTAAGATCATTTCATGATCTCAGGGCAATTTCAATATAGGATAATTTGATCCTTATTTTCTCTAACTAAAAATAATTAACTTGAACAGACTTCACTGAAAAGGATTTTCATTACAATAATCAAAATAAACATGTAGCAAGTGAAATCTTGATACAAAATGATGCCAAAATCTGTCCCCATTCTTATTGAATTTAAACATTTTTTTCTCATTTTATTTTTTCCTCTTTTGTAGGTGTTTACGGGTGAACCCAAAGGGACTGGATGAGGAAAGCAAGGATTACCTATCGCTGTATTTATTATTAGTATCATGTAACAAAAGTGAAGTGCGGGCAAAATTTAAGTTCTCCATACTGAATGCCAAACGTGAGGAAACGAAAGCCATGGGTATGTAACATGCATCTTTCTTGGAATTGACTATATTTGAAAAAGTCCTACAAAGAAAAACAGTACCAATATATATCATTTTACGATATACTCAGACTGTTATGTAGTGTAATAACACCATAACAACAGTTCAATATTAGATATGTTACATGTGTAATATTGCCATGACAAAAACGAAAGACAATATGTTTGATCAGATGATGTCACATATTCATTGAATTTTGAAACCTTCAATGAATCTTCTAGTCTGAAAATACACAAAATGTGTAATTTTAAAGAATGTCAAAAGTCATTCTGTTCCATCTATAATGAAATTCGACTCTTGATTGTTTCAAATGATTTATTTGTAATACATTATGGGAACTTGTTTTGAGATTTTCTTTGTAATATTGCAGCATTATAGACTGCTTTTGTGTATGTAGGCCTAGCCTCATGTGTTAAATGTACATAAATCAATATTTTTTATTTTATATTTTAAAATGATTAATATAAATAAAAATGTTTCACTTGCAGAGAGTCAACGTGCATACCGGTTTGTTCAAGGAAAAGACTGGGGGTTTAAAAAATTCATAAGGCGAGACTTTTTAATGGATGAAGTAAATGGTTTACTGCCTGATGATAAGCTCACAATATTCTGTGAAGTAAGCATCGTAAATCACTTTTATTTTGAGGGGATTGTATGATCATTTATGAGCAAATTAATACTGTCTCAATATGCAGACATTTTAAAGCAAGAATAGATCACATTGTCTTTCTATCACAGTGTTTTCGTGATAATTAAGTTATTTTAATTTGAAAGGATTCAGACTTTCATGTTACTCTTGATATTATACATGAACTATCAACAAAATCTAGGTGCTGAATAGTTTTCCTTTGTTACAATTCAGTGAAGTTGTGTTAAAATGTTTATGTACATCATTGCTGGATTTCTCTGACTTTTTTTCTAACAAAATGTGTCACAAAAAGGATTTTCAGTCATGTGTACCTTTTCATGGAATTGTGAAAGTGATTTAACTATCTAGTATTAAAAATGTTTCAAAAACACATTTGAGGAGAAGATTCCCATCATGAACAAACTGTTTCATTTCAGGTGTCGGTGGTAGGAGACACAGTCAATGTATCCGGCCAGTCAAATTGTACTCCTGTCAAAGTGCCAGAGTGTCGACTCAGCGACGACCTTGGCAATTTGTTTGAGAGGTCATCTTTTAGTGATGTAACACTGTGTGTAGGAGGCCGAGAATTTCAAGCACACAAAGCACTATTAGCTGGTATGTATTGATCATACCACAGAGGAGGATTATATGTGTGTACAAACAGCAATGACTCCACAGCTCCATTATGAACAAATATTATAGGCTCTGTTTTAATTGTGAACAACAGGAAATGAACAATGGGACAAGGATAAAATACTTTTCTAATTTCTCATGTTGCTGTTAAATAATTTCTTATTTGTCTCCTTAATGTACTAAATTAATGTTTAAAATAACCTCTGTTTGTCACGACATAGCATTGTAATAATTATTAAGTTATTAGAAATTTAGAAAACATACATTGTATAACATGAATACTTTCCCTTAAAAGCTACTTGGTACTTTTTTGAATATGAACATGTACTACATTAGTGTTTAAAATCATTTTTTAATGCCATGAAATTATCTTAGTTGTGATTTTATGCAATACATCATAAAAATGAAACTGCATTTCTTTGTATTACAGCTAGATCCATTGTTTTCCATGCCATGTTTGAACATGAAATGGAGGAACGTAAACAAGTAAGTACAACAGTATCATTGAGGTTATATTTGTAATACATCAAATTGTCAAAACAATTGCTCCCTGAGAACTGTATTAATTAAAGTAAAACTCTTAGAATTAAACCGCTGGACTAAAATCTTGTTTGTTGTACAAATATCTATTAACATATGAAGTCTTAGAATTAAAATGCTAGACGAAAATCTTGTTCGTTGAACAAATATCTATTTACATATGAAGTCTTAGAATTAAAAGGCTAGACTAAAACCCTTGTTTATTGTACAAATATCTATTTACATATGAAATCTTAGAATTAAAACGCTAGACTAAAATCATGTTTGTTGTGCAAATATCTATTAACATATGAAGTCTTAGAATTAAAATGCTAGACTAAAATCTTGTTCGTTGAACAAATATCTATTTACATATGAAGTCTTAGAATTGAAACGCTAGACTTAGACCCTTGTTTGTTGTACAAATATCTATTTACATATGAAGTCTTAGAATTAAAACGGTAGACTAAAATCATGTTTGTTGTACAAATATCTATTTACATATGAAGACTTAGAATTAAAACGCTGGACTAAAATCATGTTTGTTTGGCAAATATCTATTAACATATGAAGTCTTAGAATTAAAATGCTAGACTAAAATCTTGTTCGTTGTACAAATATCTATTTACATATGAAGTCTTTGAATTAAACCGCTGGACTAAAATCTTGTTCGTTGTACAAATATCTATTTACATATGAAGTCTTAGAATTAAAAGGCTAGACTAAAACCCTTGTTTATTGTACAAATATCTATTTACATATGAAGTCTTAGAATTAAAACGCTAGACTAAAATCATGTTTGTCGTGCAAATTTCTATTTACATATGAAGTCATACTGAATTAAAATGCTAGACTAAAATCTTGTTTGTTAACAAATATCTATTTACATATGAAGTCTTAGAATTAAAAAGCTAGACTAAAATCTTTGTTGTACAAATATCTATTTACATATGAAGTCTTAGAATTAAAGTGCTAGACTAAAATCTTGTTCGTTGTACAAATATCTATTAACATATGAAGTCTTAGAATTAAAAAGCTTGACTAAAATCTTGTTTGTTGTAAAAATATCTATTAATATATGAAGTCTTAGAATTAAATTGCCAGACTAAAATCTTGTTTGTTAACAAATATTTATTAACATCTGAAGTCTTAGAATTAAAAAGCTAGACTAAAATCTTGTTTGTTAACAAATATTTATTAACATCTGAAGTCTTAGAATTAAAAAGCTAGACTGAAATCTTGTTTGTTAACAAATATCTATTAACATATGAAGTCTTTGAATTAAAAAGCTTGACTAAAATCTTGTTTGTTGTACAAATATCTATTTACATATGAAGCCTTGAATTAAAACGCTAGACTAAAATCATGTTTGTTGTACAAATATCTATTAAGATATGAAGTCTTCGAATTAAAAAGCTAGACTAAAACCCTTGTTTGTTGTACAAATATCTATTTACATATGAAGTCTTAGAATTAAAACGCTAGACTAAAATCATGTTTGTTGTACAAATATCTATTAAGATATGAAGTCTTCGAATTAAAAAGCTAGACTAAAACCCTTGTTTGTTGTACAAATATCTATTTACTTATGAAGTCATACTGAATTAAAATGCTAGACTAAAATCTTGTTTGTTAAGAAATATCTATTTACATATGAAGTATTAGAATTAAAAAGCTAGACTAAAACCCTTGTTTGTTGTACAAATATCTATTTACATAGGAAGTCATAGAATTAAAATGCTAGACTAAAATCTTGTTTGTTGTACAAATATCTATTTACATATGAAGTCTTAGAATTGAAACGCTAGACTAAAATCTTGTTTGTTGTACAAATATCTATTAAGTTATGAAGTCATACTGAATTAAAACGCTAGACTAAAATCTTGTTTGTTAACAAATATCTATTTACATATGAAGTCTTAGAATTGAAACGCTAGACTAAAATCTTGTTTGTTGTACAAATATCTATTTACATATGAAGTCTTAGAATTAAAAAGCTAGACTAAAATCTTGTTTGTTAACAAATATCTATTAACATATGAAGTCTTTGAATTAAAAAGCTTGACTAAAATCTTGTTTGTTGTACAAATATCTATTTACATATGAAGTTTGATTTTTCCTCTACAGAACAGGGTAGACATAACAGATGTGGATCATGAGGTGATGAGGGAGATGCTACGGTTTGTGTACACAGGCAAGGCACCAAATCTAGACAAAATGGCAGATGATCTTCTCGCAGCTGCTGACAAAGTAAGACATCTCAGAACAAGTAATATGCCATATCAACATATAATCAAGGGGCCAATTTTAGTCTAAGGGGTGGTCCATAATTTGTCTCCCTTGCCTATATCCTTAAATTGTTTTATTTTTTTCCATTTTTGAGTCATTTTGATATCGAACTTGCAATTTATTTTGAGATTTGTCATTTTGATGCTACATCATATTTGTGCACAAAATTATTTGGGAAATAAAAATTTTGAACTAAAAAGTACAGGGTAAGCTTTTTGATATGGATGATACTGATGAATTCACAATCATTGATTACAATTGTTCTTAAAAGTCTTATGTTCAGATATAGAACAAACCCTTGATTGATATGAAAATATTGATTGTTATTAGCAATTCTTTTGATTTGAAACAATATCTAGGATTATTCTGAAATACATTTTATTTAAATTTTCATGGAGAAAGCAAAGGTTTCATCTTTGGTTGAAAATTACATATTTCATTGGGATACAAACTCTTATAATTCACCTTTTTTGATTTGTGTGTTTACCTTTTATTTGCAGTATGCCCTGGACCGGTTAAAGGTTATGTGTGAAGAAGCTTTGTGTTCAAATCTAATTATAGACAATGTATGTGAAGTGTTAGTTCTGGCAGATCTACATAGTGCAGACCAACTAAAGACACATGCGATCGACTTCATTAACAGGTATTTAAGGAATTATGCATCATTTTTACGGCAATTTCTGTATGAGTAACATTATTTCGTCTATTCAAAAGATAAATTGGGGCATACAAAATCTTTGCACCACATCCGAGAGGTCATATATAAGAACAATCATAATAAAAGTGCCCTATTATTTTCATCAGGATAACTCAGATGATTTCCATTAGGCAAAATTTTGACACAAAATTAAGCAGAAAAAATGCAGTCTGTATTCAGTAGTGTTGGGAATTGCTTGTAAATTCATACTCGATCATCACTTCCGATCAAGTGACTGATGATCGACTAATGATCGATCAAATTGAACTAAAATTCAGTAATTTAAGGTGATATTCGCTTTCCAAAATCTACTTTCACTTTCGTTAACGGGGAAACCCAGACGTTAAGGATTTCGCTAATAACACACAACATTCATACAAAAAACAATAACTTTGTTGACAGAACCTTATAATTATTGAAAAATGTGTATTTGGAAATGAAATTGATGATGTTTGCAATGTCAATTATGCTGTGACAGCTGCATCTCGTATTCAGAAATGCTGCGATGGATTGGTATTCACCTGATGACACCCCGTCAAACTTAACATTTTATTTGTAAGATACCCCACACTTTCGACAGAGCGTTTTATTTATATCCAGCTAAGGACAAACAATACCTTCCAAACATTTAAATCAGTAGCCCCCGGTCCGAGTTTATTTTTTGTTATACTTAAATTAGTCAAACTATAATCGATCATGGAAAACAAGGATCGATTAATCGATTTTCAGAAACAAACAACCAGACTTCGACTAAATCGATTAATCGGAACAACACTAGTATTCAGGACTTTTTTGTCTTCTTAAAGTTACTTGTAATGTTAGAAAATTGGTACATGTATTGGTTATTCTCATCAGAATTTTTAATAATGAAGCAAATATTAATAGTCCATTCGAGAGAGTAGTCTAAAACAAATGCTTGTTGTATTGCAGTCATGCAACAGATGTGATGGAGACAGCAGGTTGGAAGACACTTATAGAGAGCCACCCTCACCTTATAGCTGATGCTTTCCGTGCTCTGGCCAGTCAACAAAGTCCTCCCCTCGGACCTCCTCGTAAGCGGGTGAAGACTTCATAGTGATATATCTCAGTAGGACGTGAATGAAACAGACATTTTAAATTCTCGTCTCTACACTAGAGATCGGGTAGGACACAAATGACACTTGACATTTTGTTCAGGGCCCTGTCTCTTCACTACAAACCGGGTAGAACATAATCAATGATACTGATATTTGTTAAATCCTTGTCTGTAGTTGTGATGTGAAGTGTTGCCCAGAGCAGTCTGATATCACTAGACTCTATGGCTGTCCAGCATATCGACTTGTGCATTTGGACATTAGAAATGTGCTAGTCTCATGCATTTATTATTAATAATAAATTAACCTGAAAAGCTTTCACATTTAAAATGGAAAGCTTTTTGTGCTTTTATAAATTACAAAAGATTTGTGAACTTTACAATTTAGACATTTAATTTTTGAAGTTGTAACTCAGCAAATAATGTGTCACTGCAAAAGAAGACATGATAATTTGTTCCCGGAAGCAAATTAAAGTTCAATGACCAAGTGCATTAATACACCTATTACTGCATTTTACTTGAAAAAGGTTCCTAGATTGTGTTTTATAGAAAACACCATGAATGTTTTATATTGGATTGCTGTATTTGATTCCTACTGTGTAATATATACATGGAACAAACTTTTGAACCAGTTCAGATCAAAAGTCGTGAAGTTAAGCTTAAAATAAACTCCTATGCTTCTGGCAACCCAAACCTACCCAAAAACATATTTTAGAATAGAGACGGTGTAGTTTAAACCATAGGTATGTGTTTGTTTGGCCCTACATTTATTTGTGATACAGAAATAATTGACATGACTAAATTTGGGTACAAATATGTTTTTAGACATCATAGCATGAAAAAAATCTGGACAGTTTTTATATATTTTGTTGCATATTATCATGATAAAATTTTTGAAAGTATGATGCAACAGTCATCCAGGAAAGCCGAGATAAGAAATAATTGACATGACTAAATTTGGGTACACTTGTTAAAACAAAGAGCACTGTATCATCAGCAAGGCAATCTATATGACATAATGGCATCTGTAAAATGGTGTAATGTATATGAACAGTTGAGAATCCAAATGCAAATTCTGTTTTTAGACGTTATAGCATGAAAAATAAAATATCCAGACATTCTTTTTTTGTTTGGCATATTATCATGATAAAATGTTTGAAAGTATGATGCAACCGTCATCCAGAAAAGCCGAGTTATTTGCTTTTCACCCCATTTATTATCTAAAAGGCCTATCAAAATTAATTGCATGAGGTCAATGGTATTTTCCCCAAACTTATTAACTCTAAATATCTTTCCTTTTTTTCTTGTCCAAATGTAGAAGTCCAGAATACTTGATATGATTATATCTACTTTCCCATACACTTGGTTATTGATTATGGTGAACAAAGTGTTGTAACTCATTGGTTGTTCGAAATAAACATATGCTGATTTAGTATCTGCTCGGCATTCCCCCTCCACAAACATCTTATCCCTTAAATACCATCCTTCCCTTAAAGAATTATGGAATTGGGGTTATTGAATGCAAGGTTATCATATTTGATTTGATCTGGACTGTTTCAAATTTATCTCAGACAGGTGAATATAAACTCCTTATGTTTTTTAGTGCAGTGTATTCCGTCTTTGCGTATTGCAGAGTTATCTTTTCTTGGGAGCAGGTATTGATTGTTATGTCATTGGTTTGTGTGAGAAAATGACGTCGTTTTCGCAAAAAATGATGACGTTACTCTCACAACCAAGTGACGTAACGTCACTTGTTTGTGAGAGGAACGTCATCATTTTTTGAGAAAACGACTTCATTTTCTCACACAAACCAATGACGTAACAATCAATACCTGCTCCCAAGAGAAGATAACTCTGCAATACGCAAAGACGGAATAGAGACAAGGAGAAAAGAATGAATAAGGATGATTTGAAAATGTGTTTTACACCCAATAGGCTCTCAAGCTTTTCCATAAATTGAACTTCCTTGAACAACAATTATTGATACATGGAAAAGAGAATGTGAAATATCACTATGACATTCATACAGGTAATTCATCAAATGATGAATACTAGACAGGTGCTCACATAAAGCAGAACTTGTTTGTGACTGAGCACTTAACTTTAAATGTTTTGGTAAATGTATATAATGTCATTGATCTGAAACAAGATTTTTCGTTCCAAATAGGCATCATTTATTATTTAAAAAAATAAATATTTAATTTCATGTCCTTAGGGGGAGAAAAAAACTTATTATATTGTCCTCCAAAATGTTATCCTCTCCAACAAAACTTTTATTGATGCAATTATTTCATGAATAGCTCGTTTATTATGTCTAGCTCATACCTAGCTATAATTATCACATCTTGTGCAAGTTTTGATGTCATGTAGAATGATTCTGGAGTTTCTTGCCTAACATTTTTTATCTTCACAAATATGGTAAAGTATTTATAGCACTAAGTTAAATGTTGAATCTTCTGGAAGACCACCATTTATATTGTTATTTTGTAGAGATAATGACATGTGTAAATGTATGCTTACAACTGTCTCTTAAAAACCTTGAAGCCAAACAAAGCTAATCTGTCTTTCTGGCAACCTCGCCAACACAACCTATCAACTGATATGTATGTAAGAGGGGAAACATGAATTAAAACAATGTTTACATTCAGTAATAGTGCTGCAAATGACTCATTTTGATTCATATTTTCATGAACAATGCATGTGCTTCTGCCTTATTATGAAATGTTAACTGGGTCATATTTTGGCTTCATATTTATAATGTATAAGGTATCCCTATGTGTGTGTCTGTCAAAAATACTCTTTGTTGGTGATGACTATACATAGTTAAGAGTTATCTTTCTTTGGTCTTTTTGCATGAAGTTTAGGTGCACTGCAGCCTTTTATTCTTTTCCTATATACAAGACCTCTCAGGCTCTCACCAACATACCACCACATACACTTGCACACACATTTTCAAGTATTATAACTATAAGGCAATTATGGCTGGTCATAGTCATTACTTTTCCAACAGACTTCAATCATTTAAAGTGGTCCAAGACATTATTCCATTGTAGAACCAAATCATCATATGCTTGTATTTCCCCCACACATTAGGTCTGTTTTAGGCTATGATCGTAGCTAGTAAACTATGTGTATGTTTCGCAAAATTTGTATAGCCAATGATTGATATTATAGTTTATTTATATAAATTTTTAGGGCAAAGAAAACTTGGACAATTTTATTTTGTATTAATAATAGATTGGAAGCAGAATAGTGACCAAACATGCATGATTGTTCAACAGTATTGAAAGCTCTCTGCCAATTAATTAATTTATCACAATTTTTTAAAGAGATTTTTACGATTTGCTTTTGATCAATTGATGATACATGTAAACGATTCTTGTTTTTTTGTCTCTGATCAGTGATGGGATAAATTTCTTCAAAGGAAATGACCAAGAAAGTCAGCAAGACACAAAAAATGAGACTAATATATTTAATATCAGCAATAACATTGAGAACAAAGGCATGTTGTTTGAAGATTGAATTAATACAGAAATGTTGTTTTTTTCTTCAAAAATTGTTGTACAATAAATTTGTCAATTTACATTTTATAATTTCATAAATGAAAGTACACATGTACTGTTCGAAGTCCTAAGAAATAGTTAAACTTGAGGAGAATGTTTTGATGTCCTACATTATTCAAACTTGTTGTTTAGTTAAATGCTCAACACCATCTGCATCTGTAATAATCTGTTACTATATGTATCTTTGATATGATTATTCCAAAAAATATATTCAAAGGTATTGAATATCAACTTAAAACAAAATATTGATCAAAGTAAACTGTTTTGAGCTTCATGAATGATCGCCATAAAGTTCTGCTATATTTTTTTCTGTTTCACAGTAAAAAAATGTCAAATACAACCATAGATGTTTGGTGCAAATAATTACAATTTCGTAATTTGAGACCATAGATAAATATAAAATGTATTTGTTTTTTCTTTGGTGCAGAAGTGTTTTCTATTTAACTAATGGTACTTGTTGCATATATGAATGATGCAATTAATTTATTTCATGAAATATTGTGGTACGTGTATTAGTTAAGTACTAGTATCACTCATTCCTTTTCAAGTTTTTTTTATCTGATCATTGTTGTGTAAATAAATCAGTGATATCAAAGTGCTTTGTAGTTGCAACTTGTCTTTTCTGAATTCTTGAGGAAAGGTAAATCCAACCATCACAACATAATGCATCACTATCAGTTCTTTCAATTTCCCTATTTTTGCTCTATGAAAACAAAGTACTCATTTCTACTCTATCTATATAGAATTTCATAACATACTCTGATAATGACTTGCCACCCGAATAAGGCGATGGCTAAAAAGTTTTATTAAAAATAGCTGACTATGGTCACAAAGATTCTGGTATCCGAGATATGAGATAATGTCTATGAAGAATGTAGTACATGTTTTCAAGATGGTAGACTATGGCTGCATTGAATACATAAGTACCTAGATAGAAATAAGTCTTTAGACTATCATAAGTCATCATTTGCAAGTCTTTAATAGAAGTTTGTCTATTTAAGGGAAAGCTTACCATCATGCTAACAAATGTTCTAGTACCCTGAGAGTAATATCCATCGTGCTAAAAATGTTTTAATACCCCAAGAGAGCTAACCATCATGCTAACAAATGTTCTAATACCCCAAGAGCTAACCATCATACTTAACAAATGTTCTAGTACCCCACAAGTGCTAACCATCATGCTAATAAATGTTCTAATACCCCAAAAGAGCTAACCATCATGCTAACTAATGTTCTAATACCCACAAAGAGCTAACCACCATGCTAATAAATGTTCTAATTCCCCATAAGAGCTAACCATCACGCTAACTAATGTTCTAATACCCACAAAGAGCTAGCCATCATGCTAACAAATATTCTAATACCCCAAGAAAGCTAACCATCATGCTAACTAATGTTCTAATCCCCACAAAGAGCTAACCATCATGCTAACAAATGTTCTAAAACCATGAGATTGCTAACCATCATGCTAATAAATGTTCTAGTACCTAAATAGAGCCATAATGCAAACAAATGTTCTAAAACCCTGAGATTGCTAGTCATCATGCCAACCAATGTTTTTACCCTGAGAAAGCTAACAAATGTTCTAGTACCCTGAGATTCCTAACCATCATGCTTACAAATGTTCTAATACCCAAAGAGAGTTAACTATCATGCCACATATATTCTAGTAACCTGAGATTCCTAACCATCATGCAAACAAATGTTCTAAAACCATGAGATTGCTAGTCATCATGCTAACAAATGTTCTAATACCCCAAGAGAGATTACCATAATGCTAACAAATGTTCGAATACCCCAATAGAGCTAACCATCATGCTAACAAATGTTCTAAAACCATGAGATTGCTAACTATCATGCTAACAAATGTTCTAATACCCCAAGAGAGCTAACCATCATGCTAACAAACGTCTAATACTCTGAGAGTAATATCCATCATGCTAAAAATGTTCTAGTACCCCAAGAGAGCTAACCATCATGCTAACAAATGTTCTAAAACCATGAGATTGCTAACCATCATGCTAACAAATGTTCTAATACTCTGAGAGTAATATCCATCATGCTAATTTTTTTTTAAACCCCAATAGAGCTAACCATCATGCTAACAAATGTTCTAATACCCCAATAGAGCTTACCATCACGCTAACAAATGTTCTAAAACCATGAGATTGCTAACTATCATGCTAACAAATGTTCTAATACCCCAAAAGAGCTTACCATCATGCTAACAAATGTTCTAATACTCTGAGAGTAATATCCATCATGCTAAAAAAATGTTCTAGTACCCCAAGAGCTAACAATCATACTAAACAAATGTTCTAGTACCCCAAAAGAGCTTACCATCATGCTAACAAATGTTCTAATACCCCAAAAGAGCTTACCATCATGCTAACAAATGTTCTAATACCCCAAAAGAGCTTACCATCATGCTAACAAATGTTCTAATACCCCAAGAGAGCTAACCATCATGCTAACAAATGTTCTAATACCCCAATAGAGCTTACCATCATGCTAACAAATGTTCTAAAACCATGAGATTGCTAACCATCATGCTAACAAATGTTCTAATACCCCAAGAGAGCTTACCATCATGCTAACAAATGTTCTAATACTCTGAGAGTAATATCCATCATGCTAAAAAAATGTTCTAGTACCCCAAGAGCTAACAATCATACTAAACAAATGTTCTAGTTCCCCAAAAGAGCTTACCATCATGCTAACAAATGTTCTAATACCCCAAGAAAGCTAACCATCATGCTAGCAAATGTTCTAAAACCATGAGATTGCTAACCATCATGCTAATAAATGTTGTAGTACCCAAATAGAGCCATAATGCAAACAAATCTTCTAATACCCTGAGAAAGCTTACCATCATGCTAACACATATTCTAGTACCCGAAGAGAGCTAACCATCATGCTAACTGTTCTAATACTCTTGAGATTGCTAGTCATCATGCCAACCAATGTTTTTACCCTGAGAAAGCTAACAAATGTTCTAGTACCCTGAGATTCCTAACCATCATGCTTACAAATGTTCTAATACCCAAAGAGTTAACTATCATGCCACATATATTCTAGTAACCTGAGATTCCTAACCATCATGCAAACAAATGTTCTAGTAACCTGAGATTCCTAACCATCATGCAAACAAATGTTCTAAAACCATGAGACTGCTAGTCATCATGCCAACCAATGATTTAGTGTCCTGAGAAAGCTTACCATAATGCTAACAAATGTTCTAGTACAATGAGAAAGCTTACCATAATGCTTACAAATGTTCTTGTACCCTGAGAAAGACCATGGCTAGGAAGATTCTAAATACTTGACATAGCCAAGCATGACTATAAAGATCCTGACATCCATGACTATATATATTAAGTTTCTAGTATCCAACACAGCTGACCATTGGCTACATCACTTCCAGTACTTGGAGATAGCTAAGTCTGACGACATTAGTTCCAGTATTGGTCACTATTGGAGATGGTTTACCATGGTTGGAAAGATTCTTAGACACACATATTGCCAATTATATGGCTAAACTTTTCCAGCAACTGGGTTAGTTGAACATTTCCACAAAGTTTCTTGTACCTGAAAAAGCAGGTCACAGTTACAATAGTTCTAGTACTGTAAAAGTGCAAATTTTCAGTGTGGAAATGCTTGTGTTGTTACCATTGATTAAATATGCATGAAAATATCCACAGGGGAATAAACATTTACAGATTATTGATATACAGGACTTTACAGATTTCAGAACCATTTCCATCACAATATTTTTAAAACACACTGCAATCAGTTAACAACAAGAACATTTCCTCTTTTACAGAACATGTATATTAGAAAAAGTAATTGATGGTTTCACTGGTTTTCATATCTGAGACAGCGAACCATAGTTACAAAAGTTCTAATACCTTAGCATAGCAGAAAATGTTCTAGTATTCAAGATAGTTGTACATGGCAAAAAGATGTTGGTACCCCAATCTAGCGGACCATGACAACAAAAAGTCTTGTATTTGAGATAGTTGATCATTGTTACACAGGTTTCAGAATCCAAAACAGTAGCTAAACAATGGCTACAAAGCTAAGAACCTAGTATCCAAGATAGCCAACTATGGCTACAAATGGCTCAAGTACAAATCCATAGATTGCAATGCTGATACAGAAACATGACATCCATTCCTGAATCTGGGTGACAGTCAGGGATCCTCCGATGATTGAGACGTAGACGAGGCCAAACACCGCCAGACAGAACAACACAAATGTTAAAACCCTCCCGATAATGTTTGGGATCACCTTTGTATTTTCATGGAGAACATGCCATTCTAGCTGCTGAAGTGTTTCATTGGTAAGTGTAGTGTCCAACATTTGTGGGTCTTTGTCGTAATATGAATCCAGAACATGCTGTAGGGTTATCGCTGCAAATTTGTTGTGTTTTCGTTGATAACGATTAAGGTAATTAGCCTTTATGAGCTGTTTAGATAAAATCCTCTCCGAATTGGTTACAAAAGTCATGTAGGCTCTCAGGGGCAGGAAATCTATAAACAAAAGTATTTGTGAAGTCAAAAGTATAAGAAAAATATATTCAAAGTAGATTATTTCAGATGCTGTCGGATAAGAAACACATGTCATATGATTAGGTATTTTAACTTCAGACATTAAAGATTTATTTAGTAAATATGCCCCCTTAAGCATCACATGCTGAAGGTGAAAGAGGTGAACAACAATCCAGGAACCTGTATCTATTCTTTTAGCAGTGTCTTCCTCATATAGGCACCTATAGTAAGCCTATTGTTAGTATAAGGTGACTTATGGCTGTGTAGTATACTATGAAGTTATGACATTTTGTCATATGTGCACTAACTATGACCTATGCTGACACAAAACACTTAATCCATCAAATGACAGTTAATAAAAGGTTTTATACATAATAGATATATTGCTTAATGTAAATTCTACAGTACCGAGTATGTATTCTATACAGGTAAAACCATCAATGAAAATATGTTTAATGTATTATGGTTTAGTGATGCTAAAATCAATCAGAATAACAAGTTTGTGCATCATAGGCCCTATGAAACATGGTACTGAACAATATTCTGATGAAAAGAATTGTGGCTTTGGCCTTCGACGTAGGGAACTCAGAGGAATTCCAGGCAACATCATTTTCCAGTAGCAACTAGTATATCATTCCAGAAAGAATCAGAAATGAATTTCAGCAAGATATATATGTTTCAATTTCAATAAATTTTATTGTCAAAGGACAAATGGATTGGGCAGCAGGCATAGCCTATTTAAGCCCTCTCCAAACATAGTAACAAACAGTGGTACAAGCATAGACATAGACATTAGAACACATACAAACGCATATAAACAAGTTGGGATTATCAAATTAATAATCAAATTAGGGGAAACAACTACTAATACCCATTTTTATTATAATTGAATCCAATGGTTTAAATTCTAACCTTTTATTTTGATACCGAAAAGACAATAATATATAGATATATATATATACATATTATGAAGAGAAAAGAAAGATAATTTATTGATGGAGCTGCATTTATGAACATTTGATTGGATTAAATTACCGCACCCAACAGATACAGGCCAAAAAGTCTATTGTATCACACAAGGCCATCCACTGATGAGTTTGGAAATTCAATCCCTCCAAAAAGTTTAATTTATGCATATCAAACACAGGTTAGATATATAATCAACATGTTGTAAAGCTTCATATTCTTATTTATGTAGTTGTTTCCCAATATTTTTTAATAAAATAGTATAACTGGTCTTCTGAACCCTAGCCCCCCTCATATTTAAAAATAAACAAAGAAGACAAATAGAAAATATTAATATTAATATTCATGTACCATTTTTGAAAAATCAGAAGAATTTTAATGAGAAAAAAATAAATAGATTAGATAAATAAATAAAATGTAAATAAATAAATAAAGTGTAAATAAATAAAATGTAAAATTTCATTCAAAATTGAAGTTAAATGTCCTGAATCTTCCAGAACTTAATATGTAATTGGATACAGATAGGAGAATATGTTTTCATTTTCATCACATCTCTCACAACCATTTAGCATGTCATCTAATGATAAATGGTTATGAGTTTCATGGAATATATTCTGAAAAATTACAATCAATCTTCAGTGTATTTGAAACAATCATGGAAGTAATGAGATGCTGTTTCAAATCTAGAACCACAAGAACATGCAGAGGACTCAGTAAGATTATCTTTCTGACGGTCATTATTTAGGTTACTAGCCTCATTTCTCAACTGACAGAGAATAAAATTAGTTTCCCGATTTCCTAAAAAATTAAAGACATCAGTTGTTCTTGTGTTTGAATTTGGAATAGGTGTTATTAACTTTATGAACTGATAGGTGGAACGAATATTTTGAAGGTCTGAAGTGATATTATTATTTCATTAAACATGGATGGGAAAAAGCTATAAGATCTAGAATAGTTAACAGTGCAACAAAGAGGAGGATCTAGGGGGATACCTAGCTAGTGTGGAATCATAACAAGAGGCCCAAGAGGGCCTGATTCGCTCACCTGAATATTTAAGCAGTCATAGCAAAATATTCTCATTAAATATCATATTGCACTAAAAATATTTCCCTTGCAAACTTTGTTGGCTCCATCTGTTGAAACTATCAGCAAAATATTATTATAATATTCTATGCTTTTTCATTCTTCTTCAGAAGTTGCTTGACATATTTTTTCCTGTGACCTTGTAAACTTGTAGGTCAATGTCATTTTCCTTCTCAAATTAGTTAGCTCTATTCCAAAAAGCTACCAGCCAAATCTTATGAATCCATTTCTTTGAGTTCTTAAGAACAAATCCTTTAAAATGTTGTTGACCTCTGTGACCTCTAAAGTAGGTTGAGGTCATTTTCATTCGCAAACTTTGTTAAGCTCTATCCCAGGAAGTCACCAGCCAAATATTATAATTTTATGCCATTTAATTCTTCAGAAGTAGTTTGAACCATTTGACATATTTAAATGCTGTGACCTTGAAAGTAAGTCAAGGTCATTTTCATTCGCAAACTTTTTTTGGCTCTTTCCCAGGAAATAACCAGCCAAATATTAAGGTTCTATACCTTCCAGTTCTTCAGAAGAAGTTGTTCTAAGCATTAGACATATCTGACTCCTGTGACCTTGAAAGTAGGTTCCATCCCAGAAAGCCATCAGCCAAATATGAAGATTCTATACCTTTTAATTCTTCAGAAGAAGTCGTTTGAAGTTCATGACATATTTGACCCCTGTGACCTTGAAAGTAGGTCAAGGTCATTTTAGTTCTCAAACTTTGTCGGGCTCCTACCAACAAAGCTTTCAGCCAAATATCATGACTCTAGGCCTGTCCGTTCTTCAGAAGAAGTTTTTTAAAGAAAAAGTTGACGGTCCACGGATTTTTTTAAGATTTTGTGAACAATTATCCCAAACAACATCTGCATATTCTAGTATGGGTCTAATATATGATGTATATATTGTGGTTTATGACTGTCTGTCTAGTTTATGTTTCATCATCCTTAACATATTAATTCTTTTGCAATGCTTTTTGGTAAATATCATTAATGTGGTTGTCAAGCCAAGATGTTTATGTGTTTGGCTGACAGTAACAGGTTCATCATAAAAATATACATTTGGGTGATAAGTATTCAGTTTTTTTAGAGACTATAACAGATTCTGTTTTATTTGGATTAAATTTAATGTCCTATTTATTAGCCCAGAGTTTTATATTACTTAGATAATCTGTTAGGTTTTGTGTTAATTCGATTGGATCATCGTCTGTTACAGCATACAGAGAAGTGTCATCAGCAAACAATTTAATTACATGAGTAACACAGTCAACACTATCATTAATATAAAGTAAAAACAAAAGTGGACCGAGAACTGAGCCCTGTGGAATCCCTGCATTTACAGGCCTGGATGTAGATATATATATATCCCTCATTTAACACTCTGTCATCTAAACAATTTCTAAACCAACAAAGTAATTTCCCTTTGATGCCATATAATTGGAGTTTATGTACCAGTCCATCATGCCATACTCTATCGAACGCCTTGCTTATGTCACAAAAAACAACTCTTAAATCTTTATACTGGTCAAGACGTTGTACAATAGTATGATATACTGAAAGAAGTTGATTTATAGTAGAGTCCTTAGGCATAAATTGAGATTGATGCATAGTAATAATTTCATGTGTAGTAAGATAATTAAACATGTACTTATATATATATTTTTTCTATAATCTTACTACAACATGAAGTAATAGAAATTGGTTTATAATTAGAAATTTCATTTGTTAAACGTTTTCCTTTATAAATGGCATTAATATTAATTAGCAGTTTTCCAACTAAGGGGGATAATTCATGTTTGTAGTGTTTTGTTCAAGTTGTTTTATTATTTTAGGTACCATGCCATCGGGTCCAGCTGGTTTATTACTATTTAGGAGAAACAATTGATCATGGACATCTTGATGTGTTATTGTTATGATTTCCAAAGAGTCGGGACAGTTAATTTCAATATCAGGAATGGGTTCAAGATTCTCAGAAGTGGTAGGTATAGAGGTAAAATACTTATTAAGATATTCAGCTTTATCAAATGGATGTTGATCATTCATCATATTTAAGAGGGGGAACACAGTTACTTTTATTATTTGCATTTAAAACAGTTTTTGCAATTTTCCACCAACTACTTGGAGAAATATTTTTATTAGCTAGTGATTTTTGCATATTTTCAATATAATTATTCTTGGCCTCTCTTATTTATTAATGACTTCATTCCTAATATGTCTGTAGTTTTCCCATTGACATGGTAAGTTACTTAACTTTGTGCCCTATTTCTTTGGCTAATTTTAAATCTAATTTCATTTGTCATCCACTTTTTATCTCTAGGCTTTACTGTAACATTTATACTAGGAATACATTCAGATATTTGTTGATTAATTGCATTATAAAAAGTATTATTAAATTAAATTCATTACTATCTTGAAATTCTGAGATTGCAACCCAATCAATCATATTTATGTTCCTATTCATTTTTTCATAATCTGCTTCCTGACAGAGTAATATTTTTTTCTCATAAGATTTTTGTTTAAAGACATCAAATGAGATACTGAATTGAATAAGAACAAATGGGTGGAGAAACAGATACATTTTTAATTCAGTTTAAACTATTTGAGAACACAATATCAAATGAGGTGGAAGATGTTTGAGTTATGCGTGTGGGTTCATCAACATAGTTTACAAGATTATATTTGGTCATTAGTCTAACAAGATAACTATAAGGTTGTAAGTTAATCATGTTTGCATTAATATCACCTGTTATGACTATATTTAGATTAGTATTAATAGCTGTCTCAAATACAAAGTCTAGTGTTTCCCAATAAGTTACAGGTATTTCTAGTCTATAAATACAACATAGTAAGAATTTACGAGACTCAATACATACTTCAACCCAAATTAATTCTACATCATTATGTTCTAAGTCTGTTCGTCTTTTAGTAAAAATAGTGTTCTTGTGATAAATTAGTACTCCACCACCCAGGCCTGATCTTCGGTCCAGTCTGTCATGTGAGTAGGAATCTATGGCGATATCAGAATCTTATACTTCAGGAGAAAGATGAGTTTCTGTTAGACATATTATATCATTATTATTTAATTCAGCTTCTATAGTATCAATTTTATTTCTTAATGATCTAACATTTAGGTGAGCAATATCAAGACTGCAAAGAGGCCCCGGATTAAGTTCAATGTCATTAGAAATCATTAGCAAGATATATATGTTGGCACAAGATAACCTACAAGTAAGACTTATAGTTGGTAAAATGGAAATCTATTATATATAGTAACTTGACCTTTGACCTTTAATACAATGTCCTCAAAAGTAATCACAGGCATCCTCATTCACAAGCCAAATATTATTTTAAAGTTTACAAAATTGTGAAAGACAGATAGGCCCTAAATATGGAAAAAGCAGATAAGACTATCTGATGATCCCTACCTTTGACGATTTCTGCCAAATTCATTTCATAACTGGTGACTGTCTTCTTATCACTATCATCAGTCAATGGGGTCTACAACACAGCATTCATCAACAACAACAAAATTAGAAGTTGTTAACTTGTTCAATCATTGTCAAGAAAAATAGGAAGTTTATTTGACTCAGAGGCCTTGTAATTTTAATTAGGACTAACCTATGTGTTACTCAATTGGAAACAGTTTAAATTAAAGTTGACATGGAAAGGTAATCACTATCCTGCTACCAGGATTTGCCAAAGGGTTTGGTCCAATCTATGGGCCAAAGACCCAATAACCAACTTATCTTCTGGAAACCAAACTTTTATTGAACAGAGAGACATATAGACAAACAGTCCACATATCATATGTTCTGTTATAATTTTTACAGTATTTCATAGTACTAGTGTTGCAACAACACTGTACACAAAAATTCATTACAACTGTTAGTCCTCTCTATAAGTGTTTATTTATACCTGTGGTATGTCTAGATTACTAAAAGCCTGACTGATGGAATCCTGGACAGTAAGGGTAGCTATCGTTTTGGCCATCTCACTGTTGAAGGCATCCAACACAATATTCTCTAAGGATGCTATCATCTCTTGGCTGGCAACATCAACCTAAAGCAAAACAGGGTCAAAAAGGCAAAAGTTTAACAATTCAAAACACAATGTCTGACTTTCCCATAACTTATAATACTTTCAACATGCATGCCTGTCACATTTTTAACAAGAATGTTATAACTTTTGTAAATTATGTAACTTTTTCAACAGATCCTTGTTTCATTGTGAATATTGAAGAAAACCACGGTTACCGAAAAGTGGTACATAATACACCCGTAGTAATCCAGTGAAGATTACTTGAGATATCGAGCAGACACTGTGTCAGCAATTGAATAATGGGGCATAACTCCATAAATTAAAGTAAGATAATTAAGGTTATGACACTTGTCTGAGCTTTCATGGTATTTGACCTTCATATGAAATTTGAAGTTAATCTGTAGAAAATTACTCAAGATGTTATATAGGACACTGTTTCAGCAATTGTTTAAAGGGGCATAACTCGGTCAATAACAGTTGCATAATAGTGGTTATTGAACTTGACCAAGTTCTTATGGTAATTAACCTTTCCATGAAGTTTGAAGTTAATTTGTTTAAAATTATTCGACATATCAAGCTGACACCATTTCAGCAATTAATTAAAGGGGCACAACTCAATAAATTACAATCGGGTAATGGTGGTTATCAAACTTGTCTGAGCTCTTATGGTAATTACTCTTCCTTTGAAGTTTGAAGGTAATCCCTTTAAAAGTGCTCGAAATATCGAGCAAACACTGTTTCAGCAATCTTTTAAAGGGGCATAACTCAGTAAATTACGGTGAAATAATGGTGGTTATCGAACTTGTCTGAGCTCTAATGGTAATTAACCTTTCCATGAAGTTTAAATTCAATCTGTTGAAAATACTCGCGATATATTGGGCGGGAAACCGTGCGCAACAACCCACCCATGATAACAAAGTACATCCCGTCTTTCGAGGGCATATAAAAAGTGAAACATTTAAAACTTGATAATGTCTGTGAGACATGAACACGCTTGTGTGCCTAATGTTTCCACTTGTCATGTTTTGGTCACCAATATCACCAATATGTTGAGTGTAATTATGTATTAAAGTTTCATCCGAATCAGAAAGATAATAAAGAGATTCTATGTAAAGTAACAGTTTGTTTCCATAACAGGTTCCAAGACCATATAAACATCAAAGATTATATTCTGAATATTTTCCCCAGGTTAGTAAGTGTGGGTTGTATAGAGGTTTATATTGTTAAATGAGTGAATGTTTTGGTTTGATATTTCAATGATTGTACCAGTCATTCAAATGTCAGCATAAACATTCACTGGTTGTGATTTATCAACCTATATACCACAAAAATTATAATTGTAAAATGATTTGATAATAGTTGATAGGAGCAATAAAATCTGCTGTAGGATATTACAGAATGGCCATACTGTCCTTAATCATGCACATAGAAGTATCAGAGTCATAAAGGTTAGAGGTCCTATGATGGAACTTTATATACTTACCACAGCAAAGACTTGGTCACCTGCCCTCCCAGTGTCAGCACCACAGTCAGCTACAATACATTGTATGTAAGGACACCACCTCTCAAAGCAAGCTGCTGCATACTTGGCCAATCTGTTGTTGAGTTCTTTTTCAATCCTATAGAGACATGAAACTTTCTCTAGCATTAAGTCCTCTTCTGATGCCATAGACATGCCTTGTTCCTCTTTCCAATCCTTCAACAGCTTGGTCATCAAAGCCTGTGCTAAATTTTTGTTAGCGTTCACTTTATGATGGAATCCAAGCTGATGCCACTTTTTGTCCAGACATGGAATCAAGGGGTGCAGCTCCTCCGTTTTTCTTGTTGAAGACAACTCCTTGGTGTCTGACTTCTTCAAGAGTAATGGGATTAGAGCTGTTTTTGACTCCCTTAGTAAGCTAATCTTTCGTGACAAACCACTTGCAAATTTCCCTAATTTTTCACTGGGGGTTGTTCTCAATCCTTGTGTTAGTTCACTATCTTCAACACTCTGATTCCCCATCTGTTTTTCAGATTTAATTTCGAGCACTTTTTGTTTTACATTTAAATCTTCAAAACTCTTATGGTCACTGCTCAACTTTTCTTGGCTGTTTCTCCTGGTAAGCACTGTTTTAAGCTTATCAAGAGTAACTGCCTGCATTAGGAACATTGTGTAGACAGGGATAGGATCTTGATACTCTATCCATAATTCCTTCTTGGCACCATCTAAGGCAGACCTACAAAGCTCGGATTCAATGGGTAGCTCCATAAACGACCGGGAAAATTCAGGACCTAGTAACACCTGTACTCCATCTTGATCCTCCGTTAAACTTGTGGAAATTGGGATTACAGTGACACTGAAGTTGTCTCCCTCATCTCGCAAGACACATGTCTGCACACATTCTACGAAAAAGGAAGAAAGGTCCTGTAGGCAAGTGTCCACATGCTCAGCTGATTTTGATATCATTGGTGTTGGCCAATTCACACTCTCTGTAAATATCAAAAATAGGAATCAAAAATAGGAAAAGTAAATTTAACTTCTTGGCACCTTTACATTTTTTGTAGAAATACCGACCAATATAATTTACATTTTTAACAAATTTGATAGTTCTTCATCTGAACAAGCTGACAAAATACCATTACTCATGGTCTGTTGGTTGAAGAGATGAATATTTATAACACAACTAAATTCCATGACCTTCACAGTGAACAAGAGGCATAATGGGCCTATATTGCTCACCTGTTATTCAATACTGTTCACAAGCATGTCTTACATTTGTGACCCCCAAATTCTTAAAACAAACTTGATAGCAAGCTAAGCAAACTAACACTACATGTAAAATATCACTACTCTACACTTGAGAGATTTTTGTTGGATGATTTAAACCTCTTAATCTTTTCTCTGACATGTTACCTTTAAAATTGATGAAGGTCATTCATGTAAGGAAATCTGACAGTGTTATCCCAACAAGCTACAAACAAAATGTTACTACTCTAGCCATAAGGACCTTTACAAAAAGTTGCTTAAAAGATTATAACACACTGGACCCCTGTTCCATTGAAAGTGGGCCAGGGTGGTAATTCCAATAATAAACATTCATTGGGGAAACGGTCTTTACCCAATACCTGATGGATTTTTAGAACAATTCACTTGTGGTCTTGAAAGCAGGTCAAGGTTATTGGTGGGTGCTTGTAGGATTGTTTACATGTCTTTGGAGGGTCTGATTTTTTTATGTTGTTGACATATTGTAAATATTATAAAACAAGTCTTTTCATAGTTGTTATCAGCTGCTGACTGGTCACCCAAAATTAACATCACTGTGAAGTTTGGGAGATTACTGAGGGACATACACAAGTGGGGTAGGATGAGGTACTATTTTTTTTACAGTTTTACTGGTGAAATGTAAGTAATTAAACATTTGATAAATATAGAATCTTACATGAGTTTCCATTTCATATGAGATTTATGAAACGACTATAAGAATTTTTCAATTAGGCGAGCCTGTGGCGATCTAAAATGAAAAATTTGTGACAAGTTTCATAAATTTCGTATGAAGTGAAAACGACTCGAGTGTAAGATCCTTTTTATCACATAATCAAGATTTGTGGCATTTATTCGTGTAAAACGACAGTTTTCATGCAACCTTGAAATGTAAAAAGCCACCATTTTGACTCCAGTGTGTAAGTCTGTGACGTCATGTACTTGTCCTAGGCATGACGTCACAATTGAAACTTACAACCAATCATTTTGTCATTGCGTGAATAGATGATAAAGAAAAAGAGACGTTATTGAGCTTTTCTACCTGAACTTTTTATTCCAAAATTTAATTTGGTTTAAAAAGAAATTTTACCAATATAGTCATTGGTCAGACATAAACATCTCAATCAATCAATAGCAATATATAATATAACAGTCTACCCCTTTGGGAACCTCAAAGGTGACTGATTCATTTTCGGAACATCTTTAGTTTGAAATTCGGAACGCCTTTTGCTTGTATGTTAGATCTATTCCTAAAATCGATATCGGAGTTATCCAAAAGCTTGTAATTAGCGACAGAAGCAAACACACGAAAGCTGAAACAGTGGAGGTCAAAATCTGGGACTGAAACCAAAATTAATAGTCCCCGCTGGGCTTCCCCCAGGGATGACTAAAAACAGCAAATGACAGAACTGCAATGAGTAACCCATTCTAAATGGCACTTTCCCTTGTTGATAAATATGACGTCATTAAAACTTGGTGTGAAATATTACGCTACCAATTCCTGCTCTCTATGATTCAGCAATTTTTTTGTTGTGGTTCTTAACAAGAGGCCCAGAGGGCCTGTATCGCTCACCTGAATATTTAAGCAGACATAACAAAATATTCTCATTAAATATTATATTGCACTAAAAATATTTCCCTCGCACACTTTGTCGTCTCCATCTGTTGAAACTATCAGCTAAATATTATTATAAGATTCTATGCTTTTAGATTCTTCTGCAGAAGCTGCTTGACATATTTTTCCCTGTGACTTTGTAAGTACGTCAATGTCATTTTCCTTCTCAAATTGGTCAGCCCTATTCCAAAAAGCTACCACCCAAATCTAATGAATCCATTCGACATTCCTTTAAGTTCTTAAGAACAAAGCCTTTAAAATGTTGTTGACCTCTGTGACCTCTAAAGTAGGTTGAGGTTATTTTCATTCGCAAGCTTTGGTGAGCTCTATCTTAGGAAGTCACCAGCCAAATATTAAGATTTTATGCCTTTCAGTTCTTCAGAAGAAGATGTTTTAAGCGTTGACATATCTGACTCCTGTGACCTTGAAAGCAGGTCAAGGTCATTTTCATTCGCAATCTTTGTTTGTCTCTATCCCAGGAAGGCACCAGCCAAATATTATAATTTTATGCATTTTAATTCTTCAGAAGGGGTCGTTTGAACCATTTGACATGTTTGAACACTGTGACCTTGAAAGTGAGTCGAGGTCATTTTCATTCTCAAACTTTGTTGGGCTATTTCCCAGGAAGCCACCAGCCAAATATTAAGATTTTATACCTTTCAGTGCTTCAGAAGAAGTTGTTTTAAGCGTTAAACATATCTGACTCCTGTGACCTGGAAAGTAGGTCAAGGTCATTTTCATTCGCGATCTTTGTTTGTCTCTATCCCAGGAAGTCACAAGCCAAATATTATAAGTTTATGCCGTTTAACTCTTCAGAAGTCGTTTGAACCGTTTGACATATTTGAACACTGGGACCTTGAAAGTAAGTCAAGGTCATTTTCATTCTCAAAATTTGTTTGGCTCCTACCAACAAAGCTTTCAGCTAAATATCATGACTCTAGGTGTATTCATTCTTCAGAAGAAGTTGTTTTAAGCGTTGACATATCTGACTCCTGTGACCTTGTAAGTAGGTCAATTTCATTTTCCTTCTCAAATTGGTTAGCCCTATCCCAAAAAGCTACCAGCCAAATCTAATGAATCCATTCGACATTCCTTTAAGTTCTTAAGAACAAAGCCTTTAAAATGTTGTTGACCGCTGTAACCTCTAAAGTAGGTTGAGGTTATTTTCATTCGCAAGCTTTGGTGAGCTCTATCCCAGGAAGTCACCAGCCAAATATTATAAGTTTATGCCGTTTAACTCTTCAGAAGTCGTTTGAACCGTTTGACATATTTGAATGCTGTTACCTTGAAAGTAAGTCGAGGTCATTTTCATTCGCAATCTTTGTTGGGCTATTTCCCAGGAAGACACCAGCCAAATATTATAATTTTATGCCTTTTAATTCTTCAGAAGAGGTCGTTTGAACCATTTGACATATTTGAACACTGTGACCTTGAAAGTAAGTCGAGGTCATTTTCATTCGCAAACTTTGTTGGGCTATTTCCCAGGAAGCCACCAGCCAAATATTAAGATTTTATACCTTTCAGTTCTTCAGAAGAAGTTGTTTTAAGCGTTGACATATCTGACTCCTGTGACCTTGAAAGTAGGTCAAGGTCATTTTCATTCGCAAACTTTGTTGGGCTCTTTCCCAGGAAATACCCAGCCAAACATTAAGGTTCTATACCTTCCAGTTCTTCCGAAGAAATCGTTTGAAGTGTTTGACATATCTGACTCATGTGACCTTAAAAGTAGGTCAAGGTCATTTTCATTCTCAATCTTTGTTGGGCTCTTTCCCAGGAAGCTACAAGCCAAATATTTAGGTTCTATAACTTTCCGTTCTTCAGAAGAAGTCGTTTGAAGTGTTTGACACATTTGACCCCTGTGACCTTGAAAGAAGGTCAAGGTCATTTTCATTCTCAAAATTTGTTTGGCTCCTACCAACAAAGCTTTCAGCCAAATATCATGACTCTAGGTTTATTCGTTCTTCAGAAGAAGTTGTTTAAAGGAAAAGTTGACAGACGAGGACCGACGACGGACGCCACACCATGACATACAAGTGAGCTAAAAATTGCAATAAATCGAAAATTTTGTAGTTTTTTTTTGAATACTGATATTTATTCCGTTTTTCCAGTGAAATATCGGATTCTATCAACTTGATAAAACTGATATCTTTCACACTGTGACAAATATCAAAAGTGATATTTTCATGGTGTGAAAATATCACTTTTTGATATTGAACAATCATAATCTTCTATTCGCTGCATTCAAAGGCAACAATTTTTAGTTCAGATTCAAATTAAGCGACAGTAAAATAAGTGATTGTTATGGTAAATGTTTGGTACACACACTTAAGGTTTTACATAAATATGCAATTAATAACATTTTTATAAGCAATAATACCAGAAAATAGCAGAAAACGTTGGAATTGCGTTCAAGATGGTGCGCAGCCTTGTTGTCAAGTGTGACGTCATTAGGATATATGGGTCTGATTATTACGTTCCTGATTCCCGCCCTTTTTTAATGCATTACATTATTTCATGTTTCATGCTTTAAAAATGTTATAAATAGAAAATTGAATGGTGTCTTCAGTAATAACAAATATATTTCACTCGTGTGGGTAATATTTTGATATTTTTCACTTGTGCTGCGCGCTCGTGTAAAATATTAAAATATTAGCCATACGAGTGAAATATATTTGTTATTACTGACGACACCATTAAATATCATCTATATTCTGCCATATTCATCAACTATACAGTATTCAATGGGAAACCATTAAATATCCTCTATATACTTAATAGACTCACCTTGGTGCTGGAGTAGGGGACATGATTGGGGCTCATACAGATGAGGTTGTGCCCAATTGTAGGCTATGCTATCTTCAGTAGAAACTGAAGGCCACAAGTCAGTCCTTTGGCAAAATAAATAATTTACCAATTTTTATAGAGTTCATATATTCAAATACAGAGACAACAATAAATAACTCATAGTGTATGCTCCACGAATACCTCTGCTCCCTGCATATCTGTTCTTATGTAAATATTGTTGGGTACATGAGTTCAAGGTCAAGTATTAACACTGAAGTCCATAAATGAAATTGAAATCAAGATATGCTTCGGAAAATGTATTGAATACTTGAGGTCAAGGTCAAAGGTCAAATAGAAGTCACAATGACCTCATTTGAGGACGAGACACACTGCCTACCTATGATGTACCTGCAAAGTTTGATGCTCATTCTAGTAAAAGTGACGAAGGTATGCTCTGGAAACTATTATTATAGTACTTGAGGATAAGGTTAAAGGTGAAATACAGGTCATTGTGATCTCGTTTTAGTAAGTAACACACTGTAGCCTTTTCCCTGATGCACATGTATTCAAAGTTTGATGCCAATTCATAAAACAGTGGCTGAGATATGCTCTAGAAGTAGAAACCATTATTTTAGGACTTAAGTCACGGTCAAAGTTCAAATTGAGGTCACAGTGACCTCTTTTTAGGAATGGCACACTAACCTTCCCATGGTTTAACTATATGCAATGTTTAATATCCATACATAAAACAGTAGCTGAGATATGCTCCTGAAACTGCAGTCAGCATAGTGAGAGGTGGATGGAAGGGACAAAGCAAATACTATATAACACTGACTTCAATCGAAGTTGGGTATATAAAAATATAAAAACCTGCATATATTTTTTTTATATTAGACAACAGAATGTTATAATTTTATGAAATAAAGTGTTCTACCTATATTGTCATATTAAATATTGCAAATTATCAATAATAGCCCTGACATACAATGAACTTGCCCCATATATTGGTCCAGGGGTATATGTATGTGGTGTGCATGTAAATATATTCATTTTTTTTCAAAGGGATTGTGATTAAGAGATTGTGATTAATTATTGATAGTTGGAAGTTTATTTTAATTAAATACAACAAAAATACATAACACAAACACAGCAACTTTTTTCCGTTGTACAGTTAATTACTGATGTGCCCAATCCCTTTGACTATTCAGTGTCAATATAAAAATATGCTTGAATAAAACACAGCATATTCAAATTTTTGTTTTATAACAAAGCAATGTTCTTGTGACATGGGAAGTAAATGCCACCAGTACATCAGTAATCTACTGTACACTGGGAAATTCTTGCTGCAGCTTGTTTTTCCCTTTTTCCCCTGCCATAACAGGGACAAATTCATCATTACAGCAAACATAATAATAATAGCAAACAACATTTCCTGGTATACAGTACCTCAGTAATTATGTGTTTTACTTTATCTAATTCCAGCATTAATAGACAAATTAGAAAGCGCTAAGGTAGAGCCCAACATGTAATTGAATTAATTCCCTTGCAATATGTGAATCTTTCAGGTGCAAATAAATCATACAGATTGAATACCACCTACCTTTTGGAGGTTTGTTTTAGCTCATCATAGAACTCTTGTGTGAAATGATGGAGATGCTGTTTTAAAGTTTCCTCTATTACACTGACCAGTCTCTGTTTGAAGTTAGGAGGTCTGGGTAGGGCCATCGCTTCACAAACAGACTGTATACACTGTTGGACACATTGTGCAGCAAGTGTCTGGCTCAGGGGCCGGTTCAACACTTCATCACTCAAACTGGCCCTTCTCACGGCAAGAGGATCTAGTAACAGGAAAATAGGCACTCATATCGTTATTACTTACTGCAACAAAAACGTCTTTACTTTCAACTTCGATAAATTACTTAAATGGAATTGTACTAGGGATCAAACTCCTGTGACCAGATCAAGCTAATTGCCTAATCTACGGATATCTTGGATAACTTTGCCCATTTTGATTCTGGTAACAGCACCAGCTTGTAGGAACTGATATTATCCTGATCATCAGGTACCACTTCACCCTTCACTTATACAAATTTGAATTTCAGTATTTTATACATTTAACTCATACCCTTTGAAGGTTTTCGGAAAGAATAGGCCTTAGGAATCTTACTGCATGTTACGGTAAGAAGCAACTAATGAGGGGCACCCTGTAGAACCAGAGGTTATCTTCTCAATCTTCTGCATTGGGGACATTACAGAAGCCGAAAATAATCTGCTGCCCCCATTGTCTTTTTTTTGACACGTCCGTTATGTAACTCTTTCTTTTGACAGGGGTGTCTTCCTAGCTAGGCACCCATTTTCATAAGACCTTAGCAGTTGTGACTGAGGAGATTGGTTAAACAGTTGTCAGTTTGTCACTGGATGAGTATATCAAGCTAACATGTTGGTGATAACATGTCAGCAAGATAGCACTTTATGTAATAGTCCTAATGAGTGGCCCCTTCATTCGTAGGAGAGATACTTAATTTTGATGGTATGAAAAAATGTAATGCATCAAATTGATCAAAAATATACAATGTATACCTTTTTGGATTTCCAATATTCTGTTTGTGTGTAGAACACTGAACACCTGTTCCTCTGTTACATTGGTCAACCATGTCTGTGTAGACACTTTGGTCTTCTTGTATAGGACACTGGAGCTGACATTGGTCAACAGCAGGCGACATGTCACACAGAATTGTAACAGCAGCTGCATAGAAAATCTTTTTGCCTTTCTTTGGAGTTGTGCAAGTCTCTCATCGATCTGCTGTTGTACCTTGTCCGACTCGGAGGTTGTTACATTTGTCTTCCTTTGGGACAGCAAGACAGAGTGAAGACCAATGGGTTCATCCTTCCCTAAGGATTCTAATGAAAATTACATGTAGTCATTTAGAACAATATACATAAACTCAACCTCTGTATAATTTTGTTTTAAAATTCCTGATCCTATTATTGCAAATAGTAATGTTTAAAAATAGTAAGAAATACTTTAGAATGGATTTTTGTGATGTGGTGGGCTTATCACTTTATTTTTTAATCACTGTTTAATTTTTTTTAAGTTGGATCTTAGTCGCATTGCACTCTGATTGAATATCTACATGAATCCCTTGTCTATATATAAATTTTTGGATAGTTTTGTCTTATTTAAAGGGTACAACTGGATGAATGCAGAACATTTTTTATCCTAATATGTGAGTTTGAATTTCATAAATCAACATTTATGTTATAAAAATGAGTCCCAATCGGCCTGTATTGTTTACCTATAATTAAATTCTGTTTGCAAATGACCTATCTGTGACCTTCAAAGTGGGTCAAAGTCAAACCTTGCTGACACTTCAGTTTTGAGATTTTTAACACATTAGCCTTTAGCTACCTTAAAGCACTGAAATAGAGCATTTGACTTCTGTGACCAAGAGTAAGTCAAAATCATTTATTTTAACAAAACTGATATAGCCTTTCGACTTTGCATAGTACTAGCCAAATATCACTACCTTTGGCTTTTAGTTTATGCAGAAAAATAATTTAAATGATCCAACACATTTGACCCAATTGAGATTGAAAGATGACTAAAGTCAATCTTTTTATCAAACATTACAACCCTTTATTCAAGCATGCTACTGGCAAAATATCATGACCTTAGGTATCTTGGTTATTCTGCAGAGCATGTTTGAAGGTTTTTAAAACACATGATACCATGACTTTGAAAGTGATTCAAGATCAGTCACTTTAGCATGCTTAAGGCCTTATATCATTACATTGAACCTCTTGATAGAAGAAGTTGTATAAGCTTTTTAACACATTTGTTCTTGTGACCTTGAAAGTCAGGCAAGGTCATTCACATGAACAAACTTAATAGCCCCCATCTCATAATGCTACTGGCCATATATAAAAGCACTTGAACCTTTAGAGTCAGTCTTTTTCTGTTATAACACATTTGATCCTGTGGCCTTGAATGTGGGTCAAGGTAATTCATTTGCACAACTTCATAGCCCGTAGCATACTATTGGTAAACAAGAGGCAGTTAAATGTTCACACATTTAAACCCTGTGATATTGAAGAAGTTGTTTAAAAAAAAGAAGTTGATGCCAGATGATAGATGACTGATGCTGTGCCATTCCTTATTCTCTCTTGCCCTTTGGACAAATGGGCTAAGAACTTTTAAAAGCTAGATTACTCCATTTTAAACCAAAATATTTCCTGTATATAATCAACTCTGAAATAGCCCTCATGAAAATAAATACATTAATGGAAGATAAATATGATGAAATGTTTATTATCCCATTCTAACTAACCTGTTTTACTATGCCTGCTGGAGTAGAATTGGTTGTCAGATGCTTTGTTTTCTATCTCAAAGAAATGCTCTCCATTATCCTCAGACTTTGTTTCATCAGTAAGGTACACATGTATGCTGACCTGATCAGAGGAAAGGTCGTCCTCCCTCACATCCAAAAAACTTGCCTTGAATGTTGAACTTTCCTCTTCTACCTCTTTATTAAGATGGTAATTTGTGGATTGTCCCTGTGCTTCTGGGTGTTGTACCTTCCCACGTACAGATTTGGAAACAGCACTTTCCAGAGAATCGTCTTCACTTAATTTGGATAAAGAATTTCCTGCAGATTCTTCTGATTTGGATGAGTAAAAAGAAGCCTTAGGATATTCCTCTCTTTTCGGTTTGAGCAAAGAACTTCCAAGAGACTCTTCTGTCCTGGTCAAACTGCCCTGTACTGTAGCATCCACACAGCCTACTTTCAATAAATTCTCTTCTATGGGTTTTAGTGGTTGACTCTGTGTAACTGTGTGATTACATGGGACAGAGGCACTAGGAAGACAGTTCTTCCTGTATGAATCAGTGGTACTGGGCCACTCATTACTTACTGAATGTAAAGGTTCATTTATGTCTATTTGGAATTCTGAGTGAGCAACATTTAAGAACTCGTCCGATTCTGCATCTAGATCCATACATTTCTCTGATGTTGCAAAACTATGTTTGAATTCATCGAATTTCTCCGTACCAAATACAGACGTCTTTGAAGTCACTACATTCCCAAGAGCACCCAGTCCTTTTGCAGATTCTTTGTCATCATTGGTTCCACCTTGTGCACATTTCTTTTTATCCTCTGTCAAAGATTTCATGTTATGTTTCCCCATTTTTCCATCTTTTTTTCTTGTGCTGTGACCATCTTTGCCCGCTGAATTGTTGCTGTCCTGATCGATATCCCTTAATTCATCAAGTCCAGACAAGCTTGTTTTAATATCCATATACAATATCCCTACATCTGAAGTACTTGATTCTACATGTGAACCTCCTTCCAAGTGACAAACTTCAAAAGCAGTACAGCTTTTGAACACATTCCTGGTCCCAGTCATATCCTGACTTGAACCCTTAATTCTTACATCAGTCACATCTTGTTGTTCTCCATGACTTTGGTAGGGTTCCGATAAATATTCATCTGGTTTAATATGGCCACTTTGTTCTGGCTGCACAAGATCTATTGAAAAACAGCTCTTGAAATGTGTATCTGACATTTTTTCACCAATTCTTGCATCATGTGCAGAGCTTTCACTTTCTGAGATATTAAAACAAACCTCCGACTTCTTTAAACTGAATACTTTCCCTTGCTTTCCATTGTAATGCTCTCCATCAGTTATATAATGTTCAGTCATGTCAGATTTTGGAAACAATTTGTCAATCATTTCTTGCTTTCCTGCTTTCACATTCCTCAACATAACACTAGAAAGATATACTAACAGGTCTACAGTTACTGCAGCAACTACTGCCATGATGACACACTCAATTTCCAAAGAGAAATTGTCAGTGACATTGACAGATGTCAGGATGTAACCCACCAAGGTCAAGGTCATCAGTGAAATCAAGGCCAGGAAGACAATGTTGGTGCTGACAACTGGTGTGAACTTTCCAAACCTTAGAGGCACATTGAATGGAGATAACCAGGGGTGAAATGTGACAATCCTTTTCAAGATGGCATGGCAACTCCACAATTTCCTATATAAAACAAGCATGTCAATATTGAACCAATCAATTGATTTACAAAGAGAATACTTACACAGGGAATATAGTAATTTAGTATTTAAACAGTTATTAGTGAAAAATTAAATTTCTATATTTAACTTGAAGCAGTGGCTTTATGGGTATGCGCACATCTCTACATGTTTCCATATAAAAACTATAGAATAGAGGTTGCAGTGACCCCTTTTCCTTATAGGCACCAAATATAAATTCTATTCACGAATCTATAGACAGTATGGATCAGAAACCTTCACTTTGGTACCTGAAGTCAAGATCAAACATCAACATTGGTCTTGCATTCCCATTTCAGTAACACCATCTCGGGGAGAACCTAGATTAATTACCAAGTCGGAACACCTTACATGAAACATTGGCAATAATATAGTTATATACTCAGGAAACCAATATCTATTTATTTTGAATCAAAGTTCAAAATGTCAGAAGCAGTTGCAATATACTTATAGTTAAGTATGTGATACCGTACCTTCATATGATAAGACAAGCATACCTACTGGTAGTCAGAAGTCCATTCATGATACTCTGGCAAAATATGCCTTTTAAAACTGTGTTTAGGATGTGGTTTAAATTACAAACCAATTATATATCAGTTATGAATAAATAAGACACCAAACCTGTCATCAGAGCAAGAAAAGACAAGGCCGCCCTCCCCTTCTGAGGTGGTATCATTTACACCTATGAGTCGACAGTCCACACTGTAAGTCTCTCCTGTTGTCATGCAAGTCACCGACACAGAGCTCGGTCTCCTGAAACACAGAAAGACTGGGGTTTCCCTTACTCTGGCTTGTCTTGGTGTATCAAAACTTTTCCCATTGTAACTTATTTAAAGCAAATATTTTCCCCTCCTTCTTGGTGTTATGCTCCCCATCAGTTATACTATGTACAGTCAAGTCAGATTTAGAGAACAATTTGCCAACCGTAATTTTCTATCCTGAATTCACATTTCTCAACATAACACTAAAAAGACACATGAAGAGGTCTATAGTTACTGCAACAACTACTACCATGATGACACACTCAATTTCTAGCCCTTGGGTTGCAATGGAAGGATTGATCCAAATCATGACAATTGTACAATGTCACATCAACAATGCTTTGACATCACATCAACAATGTGTTGACCATGTAATGTCAACATTGCATTATAATATATAAATATATTTCTCTCATTTCCCTGTGTGTAAGATAGAGCTGTCCAGGGTAAGAAATTTCTATCTTACAGCCCCATTTCACGTGACGTGAAATCACAATGGCTCGACAATAACGTGATGTCACAAATTTGGAACTCTCCGATGCCGCAAAACGGAAAAGGTGATGTGATGAAATTAAAAACCTTTTATGATATATTTACCGTATACGTTAAAAAGATGTGATTAATTTTCCTGCCAAAATGGGATATGCTTACTCCAGCTGGCCGATTTGTTTTTCGTCTAAAAAGCTCAGGGGGGGGAATGATATTTTCAAAATAATGGCCAGTTCAAACGCATTTTCATGGTTTCTGAGCTTATTCTGGTGGTTGGAATGAAAGAAAACTACTCTTTCATGCCCAATGGTGCAGGATAGGGAAATTCCCCCCTCTGGATTTTCAAATTTTGCAAAATCCTCGGGTGGAATTTCCCTATCCTACACCTTTGGGCATGAAAGAGTCTTATAATAATCCACCTGGTCAACAGGGTGAAAGAAAAAATCATTCATCCCCTTTTGGATCATATTGGGGAAACTCAACCCTTGGGGAAAGAGACCTGTGTTTGTATTATATTAATACCAGTGTTGTCATGCAGGGTGCTACACACACAGATAGGGAACAGATACAGATTAGGCTATCCTGTAATACTTAAATAGTAATAAAAACAATGCGAGTGGAAACTCATATTACATACACCCCATCCCACTTTGTCCATGACCTTTGATCCTTTAACCTTGACTGATAAATCGAAATCTTTTCAGATGTAGAACTCTACGTCACCCTACTAAAGCGTAAATACAAACTACATTTATTGATGGGTGCACGAAACAACTTGTACACAAGCTAAGTTTTTAATTCAAAAGTTGAAAAAGATGACAGTTAACCGTGACCTTTGATCATTTAACCTTGACCAATGACTACCAAAATCTTATCAGGTGTAGAAGTTGATATTACCATACTATGGTATAAATATGTACTAAATGTGTTGATGAGGGGTTTATGAGATAACTGACAAAGCAATTATTCACCTCCCTTACTAATTGATTTGTATAATTACATTGGGATCCCAATCCTCAATTGTCATTCAAGTAATTTAAAATGCACCACTACTTGGACACTGAACAGACTATCATGTAACACGAGATTATCTCCCCTTTTACTGTAAAGGTCGCAATACACACCGATATATATGCTATCATACAAATCAAGGAGCACATTGGTGTTGAATTATTGATGTAAAATATTATTGGTATCCATAAAATTATAATAACTTATAATGCAAACACACTTCTTAATGGAGCAAAAATAACAAAAAAAATCCTAATTGCAGTAACTTTATATTCGATTCAATCATGGATAATTTAATTTAAAACGTCCAATTTCACTGTAATTAATCTATTTTATATTCAAAACTATCTAACCCAAATGAAAAAAAATAAAGAAGTATTTCCTTTCTTTTGTCTTACAGTATATTGTCTTTGTTCTGCCTTAGTCATTTATGTAATTTTACATGAAATTTATAATCTTGTTAGCCATAGTGATAAGTACCAGTATGTATCAAATGGCATGTCGTCTAGATGAGAGTTTAGTCATATTGAATATAGTTATGTGTTGTACATGTACCAGCACTAAAGTTCAATACAGAAACGAACAGGAAAATCAATACTTTTTAATGCCAGAACGACACCTCTTGTAAATACCAATACAGTCTATATTATTTCTCCTAATGCAGAGACTTCAGGCCAGGACAGATACAGGTATAGTGTAAAATATGAGATCTGATGGCAGGTCCACAGGCTCATGGCCTTGTTTAAGTCCAAATATACCTTTAGGGTTTACAAATAATAAGGTTATCTTTATTTTTTAAGAAAACGTGCAGACTAAGGGAGGGACGTAAAGTTCACAGTTCCCAAACTTAAATATATATATTCCATCCAAAAATTTCAATTTTCTCTCACTTTTATATAAATGAGTCTGAAATCTGCATACTTTTTAACTGGTTTACAGGTTAACATTTTCATTTCAGTTGTATAAATATATATAACCTACATGCATAAACTCAAAATGTTGTTATCATAGCATAACACCGAGAGCTACTACAAATGGAAATTTTCTATTCATAATCTGTTTGAGTCAGTCCAGGACCAGTCATGTTGTATTGTCAAATTCAAACTTGAATGGAAACTGACATTGGGCAACCTGACGGAAATGGTAACCACAGAAAACACGGCCTTGTATCTGCTAATATGATAAAAAATATTTGTTGAAAATGTTTCACGCACCAAAAGAACGTACCACACAGAAAGATAAAATTGATCTTTCTTTTTTGTTTATGAAAACTTAAAGGCGATGGCACAGTTAGCTAGGACCCCTTAATTTCTAAAAAAATTACACCAATACCATCCTAAATGCAAAGAGCACACATTTAATTCTTCAGCTTAGCAAATTTTAACATTCCTTTGCAAATAACTGATTCAGTAATTAGCAGGCCAAACACAATGGGTTGATGCCTTAAATATGGCGATAAAATCACTTTATATATACAATGTATTAACTTCTTATCACAATATTTTCCCTTACAAGGTGATCTTGCAAAACCCCCAATTATCAGCTAAGTGTGCCTCATTCTAACTACCATGAAATTAAAACCTGTAAAGTGATTTCAATTAAATCACCATTTCATCTCTTCCTTACTTCTTTATGACTATAATTATTTGTAAATCATTCTAGAAAACTAAGTCACAAAAAGCAAATTACATCTGTCAAAACATTAAACTATTGAATAACCCATCTGAATAACTGTTCAGAGTAAACTTGTCCTCATAAACTGATGCCTTTGGTGGGCCTGCAGCCTCCCAGCAGGGATTGGTTGTCATTGGTCTGGCATTACACAGACATCACCACACTAGCTGGCCAATTTGTCTATGATACACAGCACAAAATCAGGAAATTGGAGGCAAATATTTTTCTTTTGTTTGTATGTGAACTTGGATCCACATAGCATCTGAACATCTCCTTTCAATTATAAAGTAAATCTAGTCCAATCGTAATTACATTAATCTATTTAATGTCTTGATTCTGAGAGATTAATGTCAATGTAAAGATAAAAGGACCGATAGGATCCTCCGATGACAATAAAATTACAAATCAATGAAAAACAGATACGTTCTAAAAGTGATATGTCCTCAAATTCATGGCAGAGTATAACAGTCATTCAAGACACTAGCAATTTTTATTCTAAACCTTCACAAGAGCTGAAACAATATTTTATGACAGTATAATATATTTAACAAAGAGTGAAACATACATACATATATATTAAACAATGAAGTTTTTTAGATTTTGTATTTTTTTTTACAAAATATAAAATGTTTTGTTATATGATCTCTCATTTTAAAAGTTGGTCACATCTATCAATGTATTCACTGTAACTGGTTGAGGTAACATCAAGTCTGAAGGGCCATTAGGATATCATAAGTTTGTAGACTGATGTGGGAAGATAGGAGTTACAAATTTTGTATTGTCATTTTCATAACTTTATATACTATCTCTTCTGATCCTTCAACATAGGGCTGTTCTATAATGAAAAAAATTGTGCTGTGAAATTTAAAGGATGCGAAAATCAAATTCATTGTAACAAACTTGATAAGACTTCTATCCAATAATGCTATATATACCAATTATCATCATCCAAGGCCCCTTGGTTATTCAAAAGACGTCTGTTAAAGGTATAAATGAAGCAGGGTCATATTTAGCTCACCTGGCAGTAAGTGCCTGTGAGCTTATGGTATGGTGCGACTTGCATTGTCCATCAAGTTTTTCTTTTAACAAGTTCTTCTTAAGAACTGAAAGACCTAGGGTCATGATATTTTGCCAGTAGGTACCTTGGAAAGAGTGCTATAAAGTTTCTTCAAATAAAGGACCTTGACCAACTTTCAAGGTCATAGGGGTCAAATATGTAAAAAAAAAAAAAAAAAAAAAAAAAATCCTTCTGAACAACCAGGAAACCAAGGGCAATGATAGTTGGCCAGTAGGAACCTGGCACAAAGTGCTATAATCTTTCTCCAAATAAATGACTTTAACCTTCTTTCAAGGCCACAGTGGTCAAATATATAAAAATCTATAAACAACTTCTTAATAACCAAGATTACTAGGGTGATGATATTTTTTGCCAGTAGGTACCTGGAATGAAGTGCTATGAATTTTAGGAAACTGGATGACCTTGACATACATTGAAGGTCACTGGGGTCAAATGTGTGAAAACTTTTGAATGACTTCTTCTAAATAATTAAGACACATATGGTCATGAAATTTGGTCAGTAGCATGGCTGTGATGCGGTGCTATAAACTTTCTTCAAATAAATGACCTTGACCAACTTTCATGGTCACAGGCATCAAATAAATAAAATCCTTTAAACAACTCATTTGAACAACCAAGAGGCTCAGGGCAATTATAGTTGGCCGGTAGATGCCTGGCATGGAATGCTATGCAATTTATTTAAATAAATGACCTTGACCTATGTTGAAGGTCACATAGGTCAGATATGAAAAACCTTTAAACAACTTCTGCATAACCAGAAAGCCCCGGGTAATGATATTTTACCAGTAGCATGCTAGGACAGAGTAGTATAAAGTTTCCTCCAGTAAATTACCTTGACCTACTTTGAAGGTCACATTCACAGGGCTCAAATGTGTAAAAATTCTTTTAACAACTTCTAATAACAAAGACTTTAAATGTACGATAGTTGGCCAATATCAAGCTTAGATAGAGTAGTAAAAGTTTCATCAAAGAAATGACCTTGACCTACTTTCAACATCACAGGGGTCAGCTGTCAAATTTGCGGAGAAAAAAAATCACATTGACATGTGTGATGTAGTATTTGTCATCTGTTAGGTGATCAATATTGGTGTCACTTTAAACAGATATCGTTAAACGGACTTGACGACATCGTTAGTAACTCACTGAATGTTATTTACCAACTGAAATTCACGCAACTCCAGCTGTACAGATCCTTTACTAATTCTACTCTATGCAGTTTCTGATTATCTATTGTATCAGTTTTCCAAAATATCAAGGAAAAGCCAGTTTTACACATTCAATATATTGTAATGAATATTGTGATTTGTGTGTCATCTGTGCAATATCAGAATATGTTTTTACGTGTAAATATTTAATAATATATGTATGTTGTGATAAATCACATTTAATCATAAAACTCTTCAATATGTATAATAGCATCGTTAGTAGTTATTTCCTCTTTTAAATAGATCCTGAGAAATAGATAGAGAACATATCATAAGTCCAGCATGTGTGCCCAGTGTCACACAGAAGTTAGCATATGTAACCTGTAAAAAGAACCTGTAAGTACATAACAGTTACTATGTAAACGAATAAGCACATAACAAGTTTGGTTAACGCCAGTACCAAATATGCATCAAACAATGTATACATACCTTTTTCAGAGTTATTGTCAGACTTATAAGTACATTTACGTTTCTTTAGAAAAAGTAACATGTAAAATCTTTCATATTAGAATATACATGTAATGTAGTTAACATTAGGTTTCAGTGATACTTATAATGTGTCAGTGTGCATTGTTTTAAAGTCACGTTTTTATTTGTTACAGGGTAAATATCGATATGTTATGTGTCCACGGAAAAATAAACAAAGAGGCACGGAGGGCCTGTATCGCTCACCTGTTTCTTTTGTTACATGAAACCGACATATAGGTAACTTAAGACCAAATATGGTAACTAGAACACAAGACATTTTAACATCTCTTAAACGGTTCTGAAGATATTGTTGTTTGAAACTTGAAATTTTAATTTTAAAGCATTTAACCCACATTGACCTTTGACTCTGACTTTCACTTAAAGTTGACCTTTGACCTCATTACTGTAATAAAGAAAACAATTCACACAGCTGGTCTCCATAACATACCCAAGTATCATGACTCTAGTCCTAATGATTCCTAGGATATAGTTGTTTGAAGTTTTTAACATATTTGACCCCAGTGACCTTGAAAGTGGGTAAAGATGATTTTAATGAAAAACTTTATAGCACTCCATCCCAGGTACCTACTGGCCAAATATCATGAACCTGGGCCTTATGGAACTTGAGAAGAAGATTGTTAAAGTTTTTAACCAAAGTTGACATTTGACCCCCGACTAGCATTTAAAGTTGACCTTTGACCTCATACCTGTAATTGAAAAAAATATTAGCATTGCTGGTCTACATAACATACCTAAGTATCATGACTCTTGACCGAATGCTTCTTAGGATATTGTTGTTTGAAATATTTTTAAACATATTTGACCCCTGTGACCTTGAAAGTAGGTCAAGGTCATTTTAATAAGGAAAATTAAAAGCACTCCATCCCAGGTACCTACTGGCTAAATATCATGACCCTGGGCCTTATGGAACTTGAGATGAGGATTGTTAAAGCTTTTAACCAAAGTTGACATTTGACCCCCGACTAGCATTTAAAGTTGACCTTTGACCTCATTTCGGTAATGGAGAAAAATATTTGCACTGTTGGTCTACATAACATACCCAAGTATCATGATTCTAGTTCCTATGGTTCTTAGGATATTGTTTGAAATTTTCAACATATTTGACCTCTGAAGTAGGTCAAGATCATTTTAATGAGGAAACTTTATAGCACTCCATCCAAGGTACCTACTGGCCAAATGTCATTACCCCAGGTCCTACAGTTCTTCAGAAGAAGTCGATCGAAACAGTTCTTCATAAGAAGTCGTTCAAAAGAAAAAGTTGACGGATGAATGACGGACGCCACAGTACGGCATAAGCTCACATGGCCCTTTGGGCCAGGTGACCTTAAAATGGTTGATCACATGGTTTTGTCATCTAAACCCACCCCCAACTATATCAACAAATTTGGCCCTTGTAGTCCTAAATAACAGTCAACATTATTTGTTTGACCCAACATGAAAGAACTTCCATGCTGATGCCCAAATACCATCACCCAAGACCTTTTCGGTATATAGAATCTGATGTTGTCCAAAAGTTTCGAAAAACAAGAGGCCAATGGGCCTGAATAGCTCACCTGGTATTAATCTCACACTTGTAATCTTAAAAGTGGACTAAAATACAGCTACAGGCAGAATATCAGTGTTTGATTCATAAGAACCTATTAAAAGATTTAAACATATGTCGCCTGTGACCTTGAATGTCGAACAAGGACATTAGGTTGAACAGAGTTTGAAGTCTTCCAACCCAGCATGCTTTTGGCAAAATATCATAACCCTGGACCTATTGGTTATACAGAACAAGTCATTTAAAGATTTAAACATATATTGACCACTGTGACCTTGAATATGGGCGAAGGTCATTCATTTGAACAAACTTGATAGCCCTTTATCCCAGCATGCTACTGGCCAAATATCATTATCCTAGGCTTCTTAGTTATTCAGAAGAAGTTGTTTAAAGATTTGTCAAGACAATTGACCTCTGTGACCTTGAAAATGGATGGAGGTCATTCATTTGAACAAACTTGGTAGCCGTTAATCACAGCATGCTACTGGCCAAATATCGTAACCCTATGCCTCTTGGTTATTCAAAAGAAGTTGTTGAAAGGTTTGTAACACATTTGACCCCTGTGACCTTGATTATAAGTCAAGGTCATTCATTTGAACAAACTTGGTATACCTTCATCCCAGCATGCTACTGGCCAAATATCATATCCTAAGCCTCTTGGTTATTCAAAAGAAGTTGTTTAAAAGTTTTAAACATATTTGATCCCTGTGACCTTGAATACACGTCCAGGTCATTCATTCGAACAAACTTGGTAGCCCTTCATTCTAGCATGTTACTGGCCAAATATCATTAGCCTAGGCCTCTTATTTATTCAGAAGTTGTATATAGATTTTTTAAGACAAGTGACCCCTGTGACCTTAAAAATGGACGAAGGTCATTCATTTGAACAAACTTGGTAGCCCTTCATCCCAGCATGCTACTAGCCAAAAATCACCACTCTGGGCATTTTGGTTATACAGAAGAAGTTGTTTAAAGTAAAATATTGACGCCGGACGGATGGAGGACGCTGCACCATGGCATAAGCTCACTTGGGCCTTCGGGCCAGGTGAGCTAATAACGCAGACCCCTTTGACATTGTAAGTGGATAAAGGTCTTTCATTTGGACTAACTTGATAGTACTCTATCCCTTCATGCTACTTGTCAATATTATCATCACTTAATAATAGAGAAGAAGCCGATCAGTCATCCTGAGTCTTCAGATCAGCAGGAAAAGTAACAGCAAGATGTTGAAGTCCTCAGAAGGAACTTATAATCATTCTTGAGAAGTCAAATATGTCTCAACCGATCAAATGCCATAGTGGTCATTTTGTAATTTTAGATCAGCATCAAAAGTAACAACACTTGGATGGTGACCTTTATATGGAATTGATGTCAATCACTCTGTCTGTTCTATAGAAGGCAAAAATCTTGGACTTTAATGTTGTCATAAAACATAACATTTTCTGAATTTGTTTCAAGCATTGGACAATCACCTACCATGTGACAGTCTTCAATCCAGACACAACAACTTTGACTTCTTGCAGGGGGCCCAGGTAATCTGTCAATCAAAACAGTTTTCATTGGTCTTTTCTGTGTTTTATACAGCTTACCATATGTAACTTAGAAATGGTGAGGTACATATTTTTCTCACATACTTCACAGAGTGATCCCGTTGTTGCTAGGGAAGAGATAACTCTTTCTCCTACCATGGACAGGTGTATCCCCACTTTTACTTGTGTGAGATATCCTTGTCTCACCCTAGTATGACGTCACTTCAACAATACAATGACGTTAAGTCAACCTTGAATTTAGCCTGTAACGTTAACATTACAATGTGTATATGTTGTAAAAACAGGGTAAGAGAAAAAGAATCATTCACCCCCTTGTGGTTGAGATAGGGGAATCTCAACCCCCGGGGAAAGTTTCTTAATTTGCCAAACACGCACGAGGCAACTTAAGAATCTCCCCCCTCGGGTTGAGATTCCCCTATCTCACCCCCAAGGGGGTGAGAGATTCTATTAATCTCACAGGGGGCTGAGAAAGACAGCTGACACCAGCTTTTATGTCATGATAATGAATTGACGACGTGACATCATTGTATTGTTTCCATGATGTCTATTAGTCTTAAACAACAAAGATACCAAATATTGCCTCTATATATTCAGACACATTTACACAAGGATTTAAATATCTGGCACTGTTCTCTTCAGAAAGTCAAATCTGATTTTTAATTCAAGTACAGATATGAAAATATTCTTTTTAAAAGATTATGTAGTCAACAGTAGATGAATTCCTGTCCCAACTGGCTGTTGGCTTCAAAAAAAGGTAGTGGCGCATGTACCTCCAAAAAGCTCACTTCATTTTACTTCAAAATTGTTTTTTTTCTTATAACTAACTCTAAGTTTTATCTTGTATCATTTTTGTTTAGGCATTGGTCTTTGATATACTGCAGTTTCCTGGTAAATAAGCCTATTTCAAAAACTTGAGAAAAAAAAAAAAACTTTTTAATTTATAGAGTGACACTAATACAACTACAACAAGCTTTAACATCTAAAAGAAAGAAGTATTTTACAATTAGAGTGGTGAAAATTTGGAATAATTTACCATCGGAGGTGGTAAACGCATGATTCTTAAATTCCTTTAAGAATAGACTAGATAAAAGGTGAAAAAAACACGAAATATTATGCATCTTTAGAGCACTGATTAAAAGCAGACTTTGAGTTTGATGAGATACAACGATCAAGTCCAGCGGAGAGGATCTATAGGGGTCCTGTACTGGAAAGTAACTCTAAGTTAGTATTAAAACTCAGATAATATCATTGCACAACATAACTGTTCTGAAGTGTGCCTACCTTTGGTACGTATCAGAAGTATATCTGTATTGCCTCGTTGCAGCAGGAACCTGTTGCTGGCAAACACCTTAATATTGTAGTACTTGGATTGGACATTTTGACCAATTATCTGTAGGAACACCTTGGCATGTGAGGAGCAGCTAGAACCTGAACAGAAAGTGTCTAATTAATTTCATGGAAGTTTCATTGATTTTCAATTTAAATGTTTGTAATACAAAACAAACAAGAGGCCAAATGGGCCTGAATCGCTCACCTGGTATTAATCTCACACTTGTAGTCTTAAAAGTAGACTAAAATACATGTACAGCTACAGACAGAATATCAGTGTTTGATTCATAAGAACCTATTAAAAGATTTAAACATATGTCGCCTGTGACCTTGAATGTCGAACAAGGACATTAGGTTGAACAGAGTTTAAAGTCTTCCAACCCAGCATGCTTTTGGCAAAATATCATAACCCTAGACCTATTGGTTATACAGAACAAGTCATTTAAAGATTTAAACATATATTGACCACTGTGACCTTGAATATAGGCGAAGGTCATTCATGTTGACAAAATTGGTAGTCCTTCATCCCAGCCTGTTAATGACCAAATATAATCACCCTTGGCCTTTGGCTAATTAAGAAGAGGTCGTAAAAAGGTTTTAAACATATTTGACCCCAGTGACCTTGAATATATGTAAAGGTCATTCATTCGAACAAACTTGATAGCCCTTTATTCCAGCATGCTACTGGCCAAATATCATCATCCTCAGACTTTCGGTTACCGAGAAGAAGTTGTTTAAAGGTTTTAAACATCTTTGTCCCCTGTGACCTTGAAAATAAGTAAAGGTCATTCATTTGAACAAACTTGGTAGCCCTTCATCCTGGCATGTTACTGGCCAAATATCATTATCCTAGGCTTCTTGTTATTCAGAAGAAGTTGTTTAAAAGATTTGTTAAGACAATTGACCCCTTTGACCTTCAAAATGGGCGAAGGTCATTCATTTGAACAAACTTGGTAGCCCTTAATCACAACATGCTACTGGCCAAATATTGTAACCCTATGCCTCTTAGTTATTCAAAAGAAGTTGTTTAAAGGTTTTTAACATATTTGACCCCTGTGACTTTGAATATAAGTGAATGTCATTTATTTTAACAAACATGGTAGCCCTTCATCCTAGTTTGCTTCTGGCCAAATATCATCACCCTAGGCCTTTTGGTTATTAAGAAGAAGTTGTTTAAAGTAAAATATTGACACCAGACGACGGACGCTGCACCATCACATAAGCTCACTTGGCCCTTCGCTCCAGGTGAGCTAAAAATACAATAGCAAAACTATGATTTGAACCATAGACCTCTGACCTTTAAACGAGTGTTCAAACCAACTGGTAAGTGATGACAGATTCTGTCCATGTTCAGTTCAGCCACATATGGCTTCTTTACTACATAATCAGTAAAATCATGCACAAAATGTAACCTGTCAAAAAATTACATTCTGGGAATTAATCTATCTAGATAACAGATAATGGAAATGCATTACAATCTCACATATTAAAAGAAAATGAATAGCTTATTGGTACATAACAAGATGAAGTCTTGTGACATTATTTGGATAACTACATGTTGCTTTAACATGGTTCTCACCAGTTTACATTAACATGGCTGTTGTTACTACCATTAGTGATCTGTGACAGTTTTAACATAGCTATACATGTATAAAAACAAATTATTCCTTCTGTAAGAGGCTCTATGCTGTCACATTCATGATGTTTTTGTTTAATTAGGGGATTATAAAAGATCAATAATACTGGTGGTTGTATAAACAATCTAACCTCGTGCAAGTGATGTTGTCAACACCAGTAGATACTTGTGCAGTGAATTCTCATCCTCCACATCTTCATTGGGTGGCACTACAATAATGCTTGACTGAAGAAATAAAGCAAATAATCCCATAAGGCTTCTCTGCTTGATAGAAACAAGGATTCAAAGGTTCTAACTAATGTTAGACAGCATTTACCTTTCTCAACATAAAAAGAAAAAGAAAAGAAGCCTCTAGCTAATACTACAGCCTGCTTGGTAATGTCTGTTAAATAATACAGAAGAATAAACTCTGCAGTAGAATAACGGAAATATCTTAACACTCAAAAATAGTTTTTTATGTCCTTGACTTTCTTATCTCAACTAAAGTAAAATAACAAAATCCCAAGAGATGCACCACAAAATAGTTGGAAATCAGTTTTCCATTCTGACACCAAATCTGACCTTTTTCAAACAAATTTCTCAAAACTGCAGTTAAAATATAAGGACTTTCAGTCGTTTTATAGTGACGGTTCTAAAGATGATCATAAAGTTGCCGCAGCGTTGGTAGCGATAGATGCTACTGTTGTATGCTAGCTGAATGATGTGTCAATATTCTCCGCAGAAGCCCATATTATTTAGCTCGGCCTTGAGCACATTAAATCAAATTATGTACCGCAATCAGTTATCTATTCTGATTCTCTATCTGTTCTACAGAGCCTTCGCAACAAAAATTTAAAGAATATCTCGATTTGAAAAATCTTAACATCATTACATAATATTACCTCAAAATGTCATTTTACCTTTTGCTGGGTTTCCTGACATGTGGGGATATTAGGTAATGAAAAGGCAGATCGTGCCACAAAAGCAGTACTATTACCTGAAGATTTTAAGCTTCATTTTACTGATTTTAAATCACTAATTACAACATCTATAAAATCACAGTGACAAAATAATTGGAATCAATGCGTAAATAACAAATTACATTCTATTAAACCTGAAATTGATGAATGGCATCCTAGCTACAAAGCTCTGGATGGGTCATTCATTCATACATTACCCATTCTTATTTATTAAAACGTGAAGTCCAGCTTCAATGCATAGCGTGTCAGGAACCATTTACAGTAAAGCACTTGTTACTAGATTGTATCACTTTCAGTCAACTCAAGAACATTTCTATATATTAAAATAACATAACATGTCTTAAATCTCTTTTTCGAAAACATAACTGTCTCTTCAATTTTAGGCTATTTGAAAGCTGTTGGTCTTTTTAATAAAATTTGAGTCACCATAGCCACTTTCAATACATGTATTTAAATTGATGTTTGTCTTTTACGTTTAAGTTTGTTTGATGTTTTTATTTTGCATTAGTTTTTCTCAACCATTTGTTGGCCCTAATGACCTATCCTGTGTTGATGGGCATTAATGATAATAATAATAATAAAAATCCATTCTATAACGATTTCAGTGAACTCGACTTTTGACCTTAAAATTTGAATTAAAAAGGAATTATCTAAACCATGGTACCATATTCAATGTTAAAATCTAAGAAGAAAAGTTAAATTACACTTGACATCCAGGTTACCCGACAGCATGATACAACTTCACTGTGACGTTGAACTTTAACCTCTTAAACCCAAAATCAATATAGTTCCATCTCAATCCATTGGGGAGTCATTCTATAAAGTTTGATGAATGTAACTGAAAAATTTCAAAAGTTAAATTCAGACCAGAAAGCAATGTGTCTATAAATGAAAGTATGAGGTGACAGGTCCTTTAGACTCTGTTTGCCAAGATTTAAAAATGCAGCAGAATCAATAAATACCATGGTACTGCTGTTTACACTTTTTCAAAAACTCCAATGCTTCATTAGCATCATACTTCAAATGTCAAATGTTACAAAGACAGAGAATGTAGCCCCCAGTGGAATGACGTTGTCTTCTCCTAAATATGACTCGCGTGAAATTGCACGTCTGTATTGCCCACATGTCATATCAATACATGCATAAACATTTATAGAAAATAGTGAAAGTTTAAATGCAAAAAAGTATTTAAAAACAATTTCTTAAAAGAGTTGTTATCAAGATTTGCACTAATACAGATATACTTTTGAAAACATAATTTATTGTTCTTTCCTGTTTTTAAAGCTATTTTATGTTAAATTTCTCTAATAAACCAAATTTGATACTAAAACAATCATTTGGTCTTTAATGCGTTTGTGGTTATCTACCAAAACAGACTTTAAAGGGACCTCAATATGTGGTAGATCGATAGTAACAGCCTCAGCATGCAGAAAAAAGCTAACATAAATGGATATTATGCTCGAAGAGAGAACTGTTTGCAAATGAGACTGTTCATGAGCAGCATGTTAGCAGTAGAATCATATTTGAGCAAATAATTTCCTCACTACTTATGTGAGCTAATACAAGCTGGTACACATGTGCAGAAGTTAAAAAAAAGTTGCCAATGTGAGCAACACATTGAGCATTATATCATACATTTCACAATTAACCAAAATTAGAACTCACTGCCATTTTCTAACCAACACTTCAACTGATTGATGAAATATGAAAATAAATATCACATAAGCTCAAGTGAGCAATTTTTGCTAATATAGACTTATGAGAATATATTTTGCAAATATATTAATAAGATCACAAACTCTCCTGGGGATTTTGCAACTTAAACTACATGTGAGATCTGACATGAGCAGCTTTTGAGCATATTGAGAACACAATTTTGTAAAAGAGCTTCAGTTTACCAGCTTAGTTTATCATATTCATATCACATTCAGTTATCAGTCAAGAATTTGGAATGGAAATATTGCTGTTTCACATGCAACAGCAATGTTTTTCAGATCTTTCGAAGCAAAAAAAGTTACAGGTTGTTGCAACTTTCCTACGAAACTTGTGTATTATTGATGTTAACATGTACTTTTGATGCTTGATGACTCCAGCATGTGGCACATGGTCAGTGAATCAGTGGTGCAGGATATTCGTTTGGTCCTGAAACTCTTTACTATAATAGTGTTTCATCAGTCAAAAGAAAAGTCCAACGTTTCCCCCTATCAGAAATTAGTTTTCTTCAGCAAGCAGTTTAATACAACTTAATTTGGTAAGTTTTCCTTCCAGAAGAGTCTTTCTGAAGGTTCACGATTTAACTCATGCTTTCATGAACATGTCTGAGGGTTCAGGTGCGTTGGTTTCTCGGATGCTTTCACATCAGACCCTTGCAAATGTTCCTTCTTTTGCATTGGGTCACTGCTACCAGGAATTGAGAAGCCATACACCCTTTAACCCAGTCACCAAAAAACTTCGCATTTTGGTTACCTCTTCCAGACTATGTCCTTCAGGGATAACCTCTTCATTGTCCATATAGCCCACACCATGATTCTGTGAATGCTTACCTGGGTGGTGATACCCTTTCCAGAGAGTGGTCAGGAAATCAGCTCTAAGAGTACATCTATATCCAGGAGATGAGGGCAGTCTTGTTGGCATGAGTTCCTGTCTCTTCTGAGGGAATCTGGCACTCACAGGACAATAGTCTTGACAATAGACAACTCTAAAGTTGTTGCTTAATTGTAAAAGCAGAGGTCACCAGATCGCATGTCCTATGAGTTTTTGCCAGTTTGTACACTTAGCAAGGAGTTCAATATGAAATTGCAGGTCAAGTTATTTGCATTTCTTTGCAGACTGACAGTGAGCACTGATCGTTCTTTGTTAGTTTGATCAGAGGTTTTGGTCTTAACAGACCTAACAGACCAAGAGTCAGACAGCTGGCTCGCCTATGGAATGCAGCCTTTGCACTAGAATCTTTGATAAAAGCTCCTTTAAAATTTTGCTTCGCCACTTACAATGTATACTATCATTACATTAGCTTCAGGTATAAAAGTAATGAAGTTCATTCCCTCTTTTCTTAACTTATCTTTCGTGCTCAAGGAGCTAATCTTCAGTGTCTTTGCTGATCCTTTTTGTGAAATAACTGATTACCCGGGTATATCTTTTTCATGTGGTGGAGATACAAACAAATTCAAAAGGAGATGTTTATTTCTGACTAGCTGATCCTGTTTTCTTAGCTAAGATTTCATTTGGTCTTGGAAAGAAATTAAGATTAATAAACAATTATGTTTTCAATATCAAACTTTGTTTATAATCCCCAACAATATACCAAAAATGAATTCTTAACACACACCATATACAGTCAAAGTGAAGCACTTTTTTATGGAATGTTATATACAAAGAATGAGTATGCAAAGAATATGCTAAGAATCGGAATTATTTTCAGTAGTCTTATCATGGTTATAATTGTAACAGCACATGGACAATATTATAAAGTATTGGAAGACACAAGCCTTAAAAATGACTGAGCTTTGCAACAATATTCAATATTCAGTCTAGTAACACATTGTGACAGTGATGGAAAACCTAGTAGAAATATCACTGGCACTTTGTATAAATCAAAGCAGGCCTCGGGTACAGAGTGACAATCTCTGGAGATGTACAAGAGACTGTTATAGCAGCAATAACAGAAACATTACCACAATCTAACTCTACATCTAGGAATAAGACATCACTGCAGGGATTCATAATCAAATCCATGACACTAACATTGATGCTTTAATCTAATTGATAGACAAGACATGCAGTAGTAAGGAAATGATAGGATTACAAGGCCATACAAAATTATCTTTTTGTTTCAGCTCTCTTGAAGAAACAAGAGGCCCATGGGCCTTAACGGTCACCCGAGTTCTGATATATTTATACAGAGAGTTGATTTTTGTTTTTAAAACATGAACAGAAGTATTATTGAAAGTGACAAAAAACAATAAAACAACCTTATTCAATATCTAGCATACAGCTTTAAGACTTAAAAGTATTTGAATTTAGCACCTCTGATTCTAAACAAGGAAAATGAAGAAATGTTAGCACACTGACTCCTTTGGGCACCCTTGGGGGTAGAGCTGGCTCAAAATGTTCAAAGTATCAAACTGTCAACTCAGGGTTATAATTCCAATCAAGTTATAAATCAACATGTAATATTCATAGTATCATTTGCCATAATAAATTTTTGGCCCCACCCATCACCCCCTGGGGGTCAGTCAGGGCTGATATGTGCATACCATCAAAGTGCTATCCAATACTGATAATGCTAACTCAAATTGAATTACTTCCAATGGAAATTAAACAAAAGTTGGTCCAAAATGTGATTTCCTTATATATACGATAGTAAAGTTAACCCCCTCCCCAGGGGGAAACATGAGACCCCAGGGTCAAGAAATTCACAATTTTGGTAAAGCACCTGAAGACCTTTCCATCTATGAAGAGTATTTGATTCTACCATATCTGGGTCTTGAGTATAAGATTTTTGAAATTTTAGTCAATTTGACCCTTTTTGGCCCCGCCCCTCAGGCCCCTGGCGGCTGGGAACCAAATCAACCACTATTTTTGTTGACCTTTGGCAATGAAAGGTTTCCGCAAAATTTCATTGAAATTGGTTCAGGGGTTTTGGAGAAGAAGTCGAAAATGTAAATTGTTTACGGACGGACGACCGCTGACGACGGACAAAAGGCGATCGCAATAGATAGAACAGGTAAAATGTTCCTTATAGTAAAACATAATAACAAATATTGGGGACAAAAGAAATTACCAGTAGTAGTTAGTTGAATAGGCAAAGGTTACTGAGGTTGATGTTTCAGGAAACAATTCCTTGTTAAATATGTCTAATTACCATAACTATAAGCAAAAATTCACAATAAGTACTTAAAGTACTATATGTAGTTCACAATAAAAAAAAATATAGAGACATATATCATATAATGACATACATATAGAGGATGTGTCATAAGTTTCCCTTCATATTAAATTTATGATACAGGTTTTTGATTTTTCATGTTGCATGCGAGCCTCCTGCGAGCAAATATGAAAAATCCAAAACGAGTATCATAAATCTGATATGAAGGGAAATGAACGACAGATTCTTTTTATCATATAATACAAAGTATACTGTATAATTGTGATCTGAAACAAATATTTTGCACTTGGCCGCCTCTGAAACAATGAAAATTACGTCCGCTTCACAATGACGAGACATCACATTGATTGAACTTATTCGATTGTGACATAATTTCCGTAGTGATATTACACACATTACATAAATATAATTTATGTGATGGCTATATGACACTGCATAACACGGTATTCATATGATAAATACTATACATATATACAGTTTAATAGCGCTTTTTAGTATTGCTCACAAAACAGTAAGGTAGACAAAAAAACATGCTATGTAGACAGAAAACCTAAATATGACAAATCACAAAATTGAGAAATATATCCAACACTGTCAACTTGCCTATATAAAGTTACAATGGTAGCCTATATTTTATACTATTCTTCCTACAGAATCATTTTCATGTAATATCAAAACCATGATTAAAATACAGTTTAAGCGTGCCGAACATGACCAATGCACTATTTCACATGTTTGTGGAGATTTGATTATCAATGTTTATTGTGGTAAATACTGATACATGTTCTGTTTTTGTATCATAACAAAACATTTTATTATATAACGCATATTTTAAAGTTATGTGCAGCATTAGTAACTCATAAATATGTATTCTGCAAAAGTAATCTTTCCTCTGGAGAACAATTCAAGGTTGTGTTAGAGACAAAGATAAAACAGTAAAATAATCCTAATACGGTAATAAAACTAACAGGGTTTTGGCCAGCTATTTTGGGAAAGGGCCCCTGAGCGGAATTGGGAAAATATCATCGGCATTTGGCAAAATTCAGGAATTAAATATTCTCAGTGTGCCTACATGTACAGGTTTGGGAAAATATTAGTTTAGAAAAAATAAAACCTGCGATGTGATCAGCAAAAAGTGTTCTTCAAGCTGTTCCTTACAGTAAAATGTATAGCAATAAATAAACACATCAATTTTCAGTGTTTTTGTTTTATGTGTTTTAAATGCTCCTTTGTTTCAACTTTGCACATTAACAACTGAAAACTTGTATGAACATGCTTTTTAATCCAATTGGAAAAATAAAAACTGAAATTGGGAAAACTCACAGTCATTTTTCAAATGGGAATGGGATTCTGTACCGGACCCTTATATACATCGGACTGAAACCCTGGTCTTGTAACCTTGAAAGAAGTTCAAGGTCACCAACATTTACAAAACTTTACAAAGTCCCAAGGACTTTCGGTTATGAAGAAACTCAAGTTAAAGGAAAAGTGGAAAGAAAGCTATGTTTTTCAAAGGTGTTATATGACAAATTTACTGGGGGGTTTTGGGGTTAATTCCTGATGTTGAAAGATACTACGGATAGCCAACTTTTAAGCAAGTATCAAAAATAGACTCGTTTTAAAACTATTCAAATTAACATGTCCAAAATGGGATTTCTCTCATTAGTAATGAAATTTCACATACTTTTCTGCTTAAATCTTCAATAAAAAGAACAATTCTTTCTTGAAATAGTGAAATATTCTGTATCAAAATAATTGTTGGAATATGTTGCACACGATGATGATATTGGGATGTTAAAAACCTAGGGGTATACTTTGACAGTTCTCTGAACATGGAGAAACAAGTGAACGCGATTGCCAAATCCTATTACTACCAGATCAGGAACATCAGCTGTATTCGGCAGTTTCCAACTGCAGATGCATGCAAGATTTTGGTGCATTCACTTGTTACCTCTCGGTTGGATTATGGTAACGCCCTGCTCTGTGGGATATCTGACAAACTAACTAGTCGTCTGCAGAGGGTTCAGAACACTGCAGCACGGCTAGTTACTCGTACTCGAAAGAGAGAGCACATCACACCTGCGCTTTATTCGTTGCACTGGTTACCTGTACGATACAGGTCGCAGTACAAAATTCTGGTATACACATACAAGGCACTGAATGGAACAGCTCCTCAGTACCTACAGGAACTTGTTACCCTGTATCAGCCGTCAAGATCACTGCGGAGGCCAACGCTTATGATAAATCTCCATAGGCTTTGACCCTACCTTTTGCATATTTTTCTAATTAAAAGAATCACCACGCTTACTTCATGTACATCAATATGACATTTTTAGTATCAAAATAACAGTAATTTTAATCACTATGAAGTACACTATCAAAATTCATTTTCAAAATTATATTCTCCTGTGACATTTATCTGTCATAGACTCATTTTGTTAGGATACCCCTGTCACTCTTCCTGTTGTTATGCAAGGAGGTTTACTATGGTCATCAGTGAATCAGTAGTAATAATGAATAATCATGTGCAATTATTGTTTATTTACATGTATCTACATAAAGGGAATCAAAAACAAAAATTGAAGTGGGGGCAAATGTGGACTCTTTTAAGTCAAGGGTTAAGGATATTGCATCTCTGGTACATGTTACAGAATTTGATTTTATAATGAAAAATTTAAATGCCGATGTATAACCATACCTTTGACCTACTGTTGGCATAGGCTAGGCCCAAACACATCAGGTAAATTAGCCCAAATCCAGAAGTGAGGTAATTGATGAACTCATTCTTTGTTTCTTCTGTATCTGACCAAAGATGAAGGCCAGAATTGGATGGGAACTGGTCAAACATGGTATACCCACTTTTGTCTGTAAACCAAGGAACATCACACAAGTATGTTGTTAAAACACGACAGAAGTAAAGATTGCATAACTTTTTACTGTGTAAATATTTTTTTCTCTCAATTTCATTTCGTCACCATTGATTAATCAATTAAATTTCCTGACAAGATGTTACCACCTGTCTGTTTAGATTCCCTAATGAAGTTTTGACATAATTTGAATGAATATAAATTTAAATTTTCCAAGAAAGCACATTTATTCACATGTTACAAAGTGGCTTGGAATGGAAATTAATTGGTCCATTTATTCGGGATACAAATTTTGAGTAGCCCAAAAAAAGAGACAATAGAAATTTGTTAAAATAGTTTTTACAAATATCTCCTTTATAGCTGTAACACTAAAGTACACTGGACACTTAAATAAGTGTGTTTGTCTGGGCATGCCATTTATGGTAACTTGATCCATATATTTTTGATATTTTTTTTGTTCTTAAATTCCAGGAAAGAAATTAATGATAATATCACAAATTAACCATAAAGTCCTGATCATGAGCTGTCCTCCTATGAAACTTGTGAAAAGTCCTGCATATAGATATAAAAGATGGACATGACCCCCGACTCTAAATCTTATACATATTTGCCAACATCATACTAGTCGTGTTAAGTTTCCAAGGTGCAGTTCAATTGTCAAGACACACTATTTTCTTTCTAGTTCTAAGTTCAAAGATACATCTGTGTTTTATTTTGTCCACATATATAATTTTAGAAAGATCTGTCCCAAAATTCAATAAGCTGGGACCATGAGGAACCGATTTAAGTAAAATTTCAAAAGGATCATCTTGGTCTTTCAATCAGCCCCAAAATTTAACTTGCACAACTAAGGACCATTGGAAACCTACGTACATATGAAATACATATGCAATTTGAGTAAGATCCTATTAAAATTCAAGATGGCCACCTTTCAACCATCTTGGTTTTTATGATCAAAGTTGTGCAAATTTATTATTGAATCAATCAGATTTAATATGCACAACTCAGGACCATGAGGAATCTACATGAGGATTTAAGAAGGATCTCTGTGGAGCGTCCAGAGAAAAAGTGTTAACAAACTGTAACTCTTGAAATTAAGATGGTCACTTGTTTGCTTTCAATGTTTTCCTGATCAGCCCCGAAATATCCTATACACAACAAACGAGCATGTATGACCTATTTGTGAACTTTGAGAAATAACAGTTAACGGAAAACACTGTCATATAGGCATAAATATATGTGCTATTTCAATCTTGTATAGTAACAGAGAACCCTTGCTCTGAAGTCCGACACATTTACATGACTCATAGGTGTTGCTGAAGCTGCCACCCGATATTGCCTCAGCAGCACATCAACTAAATACTTTCCACTGCTTTTATCCAGTTTTTAACCTGATTTTTAAACTTTTAATATTAATCTACGCACACACGAACTGGCATAATCTTCGTAGTGGCCGGAAATTGGAAAAAGAAGAAGCACTCTCTCAGTTTCTGTTTCAAAAATTCTGACAGAATTCAGAATGAGGGTAGAAGTCACTTAGCGGTGCTTACCAACCCTGTTGAAATAAGTGAGGGATCGAGTTGACCGCTTTCTTCTCACAATATATACATCTGGAAAACAATCCTGTTACTGGTTATGGGCTAGCCTTATTTCATTTGAAGTTTTTTAACCTCTGCTCCAGTGTCAGTGGATTCTGTCGTCTGCAGACATCGCACGCTTTGTGATGACGTACGCAGTTTTTGTGCTATATTACTAAATGCAGATCCAGACTCGTATCTAATCCGGAGATGTTAATAGTTAGTACTCTTTTACATGTTAAGAGGCTAAAAGATATGGGCTGTGAAGTTTTTAGAATACTGCACAAGATTTCTCCTAATTATATACGTGATTTAGTAAAACTAAGGGAATCTGATAAAGATCTCAGAAGGGACTTCACAGTCAGCATCCCATCTGTAAAAACTACAAGGTATGGGCAGAAATTCTTCTCGTTTGAGGCGGCCCGGGTGTTGAACAGTCTTCCAAATGAATTGCGGAGATGTGAATACTTCCCAGAATTCCGGAGGCTGGTCCACACCTGGGATGGTCCCATCTGTACATGTTCCATCTGTACACAGATGAAGGATTGATTTTTGGTTCTAGGTTGTGGGGTTTTTTTTGGTGTTTTTTTTTTTGCGTTTTTATTGCTCCAGAAATAGTTGTCATGCACAAGTTTTAGTTCTTATAGTGATGCTTTACTTTTTTGCGTAATTTTTCTTTTATGCTGTAAATTCCTAAATATTGTTTCATAAATGTATGCATTGTTGTTTTAGATTATGCTATATTAGCGTATGTTCTGTCAATTTTTAGTTTTTTGCCATATTGGCATATATATGTACATTAGACTGAAACGTCTCTTAAATTAATTTATATGCTGCATGAGCTTTATGTTCGCATGACCTTTAATTACCGTGCTATTTTACCTTTTATTCAACAATCTGTGATGCATGCTATCTTTGTGATATTTTATTGTTTCTATTAATTATAATTGTTAAAATAGTCGTAAGAATAGCTCTTCTGAGCTAATGTTGCATTGTTACAAACACGACTCTAAATAAAAATTCTTGTATCTTGTATTAACATGGAGGCCCTATTCCGTCTTTGCGTATTGCAGAGTTATCTTCTCTTATGAGCAGGTATTGATTGTTACGTCATTGGTTTGTGAGAGTAACGTCCTCAATTTTTGAGAAAACAACGTAATTTTCTCACACAAACCAATGACGTAACAATCAATACCTGCTCACAAGAGAAGATAACTCTGCAATACGCAAAGACGGAATAAAAAGTACAAGGAGAATAAGACCACTTGGCCTGTAAACTCATATTCACTGCTCAAGCCTTAATTCGTGTTCCGGTTATAAATCAATAATAAACTCTTTTTTGACAATAATTTGGAAACAATTTGAAGATACTTAAAGACGAATATTGTTTTCGATGTTTACATTTGACTTTTTGATCGTTTGATATGGTTGAGGTGAGTTACACGAAAGTTGGTTTGAGCACATAATCCATGCTTGAGCATGAGAACGGTTATATGTATACGGGCCATGGCATGTGCTTAAACCAATTTTCTTGTAACTTGCTTGAATCTTGTGACACAGTCAGATATTCAAGTGTTAACATTTAATATTGAATGCAGTTTGAAGTCTCTTCAATATTCTTCCAAAATGTTGATAAATTGTGATTTTTTTTAAATCCATTAATCACAACTTGAAATTTTGTTTGAGCACAGAATTTGAGTTTGAGCATTAAAATGGTTTTATGAGCGGGCCCTGGCTCAGTATTCATGAAACTGCACGGTCCTCATGTTACAAATCCCGATTCTTTGCTCGATCCCAATTTGTTGTCCCATTGAGAAAATTAATTTAAAAAAAAATCATAGTGTGTCTATGATAATATGTAAGAAACTTCGAAAGACTTTAAGCTTATGACTGTATTTAGTGTTTACTCTTGACTTTTTGATCAAGTTACCTGATTTAAGCAGGTTATAAGAAAGTCGACTTGAGCACAGAAATCATGCTAGACTATGATAACGGTTCCATAAATACGGGCCCTTGTGTTCCAGAAGACACCCGCCATGTTTATATAAGTCGAATCCAACTAATGTCATTAGCAGGCACTGATATATTTCTTGTTTTTGTTTTTGTTTATCATTAATATGTTTGTGTGTGCTTTTCTTCCTGTTTACGATTATGAACATCTGTATAAAAAAAGTCGTTTGTATCATTTGGCATGGGAAACAAAACGTAAAGAAAACAACCAAAGTAGGATAAATATAGATTTGCCAAACAGTTGCGTCAGAACCATTGCCGACTTATAAACAATACTGAACAACTAATATGGATTAAACGCATTCTGAAGATAAGATATTGGCTTAAGGAGGAGGACTCATTTTTATCAAGTACATGCACGTTACACCGGGCCACATATTTCACGATTGCAGTTACAAATAATTAAGTCGCAGTATAACTGCTGCCATTGAAGTCATCTTTTTGGGGAATGTGGTACAATAAAAACCGACTGTACATATAAATTTAAGTTAATCTTCACATTATTATTTAAAAAAGATTGTCTTGGAAATCAAATCGGTGTGTGTGTGTGTTTTTAATGAAATTGAACCATTGTAAATGTTACGTGTAGCAACATTGTTTTCTACGCCGAATACATAGCTGGTAGTCAAATTAATGATATTAATCAGCAAAGGTAATAGACAGCTTGTTGGTTTGTGTGAAGAGTGTTTGGCGTTCTCCTGAGGCGAAATGCTGTTGCATGCTTTTTTGTGATAGCGCGGATCTGATGTCGACTACCACACTGAAATACCATGCCGAAACGACTCAGCACAGACGGTTGGTTGGTTGACGGGTTTATCGCCTACATGACTCCACCCATGCGGGTTTCGTCTCACTGACGGAGGTCGGTGTTCTGTCGACGTGAGGGAAGTTACCTTCAAGAGGAGGGGGTCGCCTATACCATATCCTATCCTTATAGTTTTAGTGAAATTTTGGGAGACGACTCTAACTTGGTACAAACGGTTAGTAAATGTGTTGTGTTGTCGCTAGCCGTATCGTATCAAGATGTCTCGTACGTACGACGCGGGTGTAGGAGAAGGACGTGCCTACCATATACAGGCTGTCCTGTGACCCTATCCTACTCTATTGTGTTTTGTTTTGATTCTTTATTTTGAAAGTTCGTCTAAACATCTTAATAAAATAATTGTATCTAACCTTTCCCTATCCTCTGTGCCGGCGTTAACGCACCTACTCTTACGACAATACACAAAGGGGTCTTTTACGTGCAGGTTGGACGTTCCCACACGGGACACCGTTTATCATTGGTTCCTTCCTTAGTGGTTAGTGGTTAGTGTCATGCAAGTGCGAATTAACCTTGAATTTTGGTGTCTGCTCACTACGGAAAAAAATCCTTCAATAGTTGGTCGGGATTAGATGAGGGAGGTATATTTGTTGAAGAAGGGGAGGGTTATAATGTGATACTGAGAGTACGTGGGCCTGGTTGGTTTGAGATTGGTGAGTGTTATCAGTAGGCTGAGGCAACATCAAGACAAATAGCGAGATATTGTCAACAAGCTGTGAGGCATTATAAAAGAAAAGTCATCAAGAAAAGGAGAGCACGAAACTGACGAATATACCCATCTATGCAGGGTTACCACATTAGTCGCCTCTTATAATTACATCATGCCGTTGGCAACAGTAGGTGAATTCTGTTCTCAATCCCCGACCTGCGAGGGTTTTTGCAGCCAATAAAACTGTAAAAGTGGAAATTTTCACGATGTAAAAATTTTGGCGATTTTCGCGTTACGTAAATTAGATTTAACTTTTAAAACATATCCACACGCGAATGTTAATTTATACATAACATAAATTATTGCTAACGGGGAAACATCCACACAGGTAATCACTGTAGTGAAGCACATTTTTTTTTTCTTTCAAAATGTTTTATTTCAATAACTTGCATATTCTTATATACATCTTATAACCAGTATACATTGTTTTACATATCACTACATCATTTTTCATCTTATTACCTGCATACATTGTTCTATACATCATCCTACTTCATTCTTATTAGGTATACATTGTTTTATATATATTATATAAATTTTCATCAGATTAGAATAACAAAAACTAAAAAGTACAATGAATATATGCTATTCTTGCATTCCATGTAAACTATATATTATTTCCTTTTCATTCTAATTATCACACAGGCTCATTCATTCACTCATTATTTTCATTATCAGAGTAGGTAAATTTATAAAGACTCACAATTTTTTTTGTACTTATTCATTACAGTAGCAACATAATTGTATTTATATTAATTATAGCTATAGCTGTGATTTCAATGAATGAATTAAAGCAATGAATGTATAATTTTGTCTGTTTGCACTTATTATATTATCCGCTGTATTTTTCAATTGGTTTGTTATCCTATTAAATAATGACAGCGGAATTTGATCTTCATTTTCAAATTTCTTTAGATTTCTTGCCTTCCAAATTAGCCATTTAGACTGAAATATGATTAGATTACATAGTTTATTTATATTATCATTATATTCTGAGACACCAAAGATTCTTTCCTTTTCTGTTAACCTAAAATGAACATTGCTTGTTGCTAGACATTCATTTAGTAATTGTTCTATCCTGAACCAAATTGTTTCACTAAACCTGCACCCACTAAAGAGATGTTGTTGGGTTTCATGTACTTCTTTGCAGAAGTTACATAGACCATTTGATTTCTGCATTTGTTTAAGTTCATATTCAGTGGTTAAAATTATGTGTAGGCTTCTCCACTGAAAATCCATGATTTTCCTGTCAATGATAGTGTTATTTATAGAGAGCCAGATGGCATTCCAGTCCAATGCAAAAAGATCATTCCATTTCTGAAGGGATTTTATATCTTTGCTATTTTGATACAATATATATTTAATTATTTTGTTAAAACACTTGTTCATGGCTATAATGCTGTTTTTATAAGTGAAAACTAAGTCATCTAAAATTTTAAAGGCACTAATATTGTTTTCATTATTATTTTGTAGTATGTTTTTCCACCCTGACGGAAGGGCCCCTCTGATTTTTGAGAATTCCGATATCCAGTTATTTTTACTTTTTAACTTTTCCAGTAATTGTTCTGATGAAATAAAGTG